CAGATGCTTCTCGAGCAGGTCAACGGTGAGCTCGGTGGGGCAGAGGGCGAGAAAGTGGTCCTTGACTGCGCGAAGAGAGTCAGGGAGACGGGTGACTAGGTGGTAGAGAACGAGGTACATCGGGGGCGGATTCTTGGCGAGGAACTCAGCAGGAAGGGCGGCTCGGTAGCGAGTGTCACTAGTGCGGAGGTGTGTAATGACGTCAGCGACTGTGGGAAAGGCGGCCAAATCGGGGAAGAGATAGGGCAGCGAGAGACGGTCGATCGTAGCAGAGGCAGGCGAGGAGTAGCGCGCGACTACTGCATCGTACAGTGCCTTAGCAGTCTTGTGCTGGCCAAAATGCGCGCGCTAATCTAACGGCCGGTGACTGCAAATGGCTAGGCGAGCGTGAGCGTCACGAGTCTGCCACTGGGAGCGAGCTGTACTGTCAGCAGTCTCTACAAGTGCTAGAGCGGTTCCGGACGCGTGATCATACAGTGAGACATCGTCCTTGGCAGTGATCTGTAGGAACAGGTGGAGGTCGTCGAGCCAAGCATCAATCTGAATCGGACGGCCCTCAGCATCGAAAGAGAGGACGGTGGGACTAGCCATAGTGGCAGCAGTAGCAGTAGCAGCAGTAGCAGTAGCAGCAGTAGCAGTAGGAACAGAAGCAGTAGGAGCGGGCGGAACAGCAGTAGCAGTAGGGCAGCGCGGCACGGTTCGGGCAGGGCGGCTCGGCGCGGCTCGGGCAGGGCGGCGCGGCGCGGCTCGGACAGGGCTATGCGGCGCGGCTCGGACGGGCAGGGCGGCGCTACGGTGGGCCTGCGCGTGGGCTGCTGTTGCGTACGGGCCGCGGCTGCGCGTGGGCTGCAGTCGCACGCGGGCAGCGAGCTACGCGCTGGCTGCAGCGGCCGGTGCGCAAGCAGCTGCGACGCGCGGGCTGCGCGCGGGGCCGCACGAGGACGGCGCAGGCTGCGCGCGGGCGGTGCTGGTCGTGCGTGGGCGGTTAACGGCCTACGCGCGCTAGAAACGGGCCGCGCGCGGGCGGCTAGCGGGCTGCACGCGCTAAAAACGGGCCGCGCGCGGGCGGCTAGCGAGCTGCGCACGGGCAGCGTGAGAGAGAGAGGCGCGCGAGGGCGCACTAGCAGAGAGGCGCACGAGGGCGCGAAAGTGGTAGGGCGCTCGAGGGCGCTTCTAGCAGAACGGTGGGCCCTTAGGACTAAGCGGTCCTAGGTTCCTAACCTAGGCTCGTAATACCATGTCAGAATGAACAAGATTGTTTGCACTAGGAAAGAGGTGGGTACAAGTAGGAAACCCTAAACTTACTGTACCCCATAGTAACTACCCCACTACAGCCTAAACCAACTGTAGCAGATATAACATTTGACACGCGTCCAGTCAGAATGAGCCGTCACGTCTGTGAAGTGACGTGCCAAAGCTCTGTGCACAGTCAGAGAATGCCCTCGCGCGATTCTGATTCAGGAACCTGTAGGATTTCGATTCGTTAGAATTTACGAGACTGAAATAGATTTTGGTGTGTTTAAATTGTATTTCTTTTTATATAAGCACCGGCGCTTATGGCCGTTACTCAATTACAAGACCCCCCTTAAAAAAATGAGTGTATTATAAGCGCATATGCGCTACTATCTGGGGCCAGACTATACATGATATGTGTTTCGGCCAGGCAAGATACTAAAACCTAGTGTAACCATATGAAGCAGCCTGTGAACGCAAGAATCACATCGAACTGAGGACACTCATGAGACTGGCTTAAATGTGAACCGTGACTAAACAACGACGCATGTTGTCAAACTTATATGCTATAGTCTGTGGGAGAAAGGCCCCGCCCTCGCTTGGGCGCAGCCGATCTCATTGTCGACGAGAAGTTCGCGACGGATTGGTCGACAAAATGGGCTTCTGCAGTTCGACGGAAGTTGCGGTCGAGCAGGCTGTGCTCGACAGAATCCGGTCAACGAGCTCTGCGTCTGGTCGACGATCTCTGCGCGAAGAGCTCCCGTCAAAGAGCGCTGGTCGACGATCCTGGTCGAAGAACTCTGGTCGAAGAGTTCGGGTCGATGAGCGCTGCTCGGCGAACGCTGTTCAACCGAGCGGTGTCCAAAAGATCGACCAAACTTGCAGAGGTGTGCGAAACTCTGAGGAGGTGTGCGAAACTTCGCCGAGAAGGTATTGGCGAAGTTTGACCTGCGGAATGGCAGCACGTGGTCGACGGTGCGCACCTGGCGAAACAGACAACACGTATTCTACCTGGCACCTACGCAATGTGCCTGACGGTGAAACCAAATATCACAGAAAATATTCCTCACGTTGCGTCTCAAGAAGAACGTTCCTCACATTGCATCACCCATCATTCATTCCCCTCTCCCCTGCCCAACTCAAACCACGAGTCACCTTTTTCTAACCCTTCAGCTCCCCTCCCTGCCTCACCCAAAGTACCTTGTAGCTTGCCTTACTCTTTCCACTCTCTTCCCTACCTCACTCAAAGGACTGTTTACCTTGCCTAACCCCTCCCAGACTTGTCCCACATGGCCTCACTCCTTTCCCTGCCCCACCAAACACTCCAATAAATCTCATGGTCTTCTGAACTACGAGGCTAAGTAGGATGGAATCGATATAGGAGAGAACTGCCTGATGAAAATGCCTGGTCTAGAAAGGTACGGGGGCAACTCAGCAGCAGTACGGGGTAAGAATATAGTTGAAGTAGGTAACTGATCCTATCACAACTTGTTAAAGCAGGTGAAATAAAGGCGGAATAATTCCAACTTGGATTATTATGCTATGATCCAAGCGATTTGATTCTCAAGCAGCCGAGCTCCATAATGCCCATATAGTCCAATTATTTTCAGTCGTGAAAGAACTACCACCCTTCCCCTTTTCTAAGCACACATTGTTCCCATACAAGTCAACCACCCAACCCCAAACAGCACCCCGAGCACATGCAAACAGCAACAATACCTTCCTTGGTTATCAACCACTGCCCTGCTCTACTTGCGTCCGAGATTTCCAAAGAAGTTTGTGGCCTTCTCGAACCCTTGCTTCACGTCGTCCGCTGCCTTCCTGGCACCTTCCCCAACCTTCTCAAACCCCTGCTTCACCTCATTCGCTGCCTTCTTGGTATCCTCCCACCCTTTCTCCAGCTTTTCCGCTTGCTTCTTTTTGTCTTTCACCATCCTATCCCATTCCTTCTTAGAATACTTCGCAAGCTCCTTTCCAACCTCAGCGATGGCTTTCATTTCACTCGGCCCGATCTTCACCTTGACCGCCTTCCCCTTGAGCATCCGTCGGATCTCCTGCATCAGTGGTAAGATGGACGCATCTTTGACTGCCACTGGGGAGGACAGGTCGTCCGCCGCCAAGACGCCAACATCCCGCGCAGGATCAGATTCGAATATCGGCGCTGTAGCGGAGACCACATGCGCGGCGGCAATGAGCACAGAGAGCACCAGTAAGAAAACGCGAAGCACGGCCATTGTAAGCAACCACCGGATTGGATTCGAAGGAAGCAGATGGAGTGGCCTCGCAAATGAATTGTGCGGAGCTAAATAGTGCCGCGAGCTGGGGCTGGTTTACTATAGGTTGGGTGCGGTCGATGCGATTATTCGTTGCTAGAGGCTATTGGCGCGACGCGAAATCTGCCGCTGGAAACGGGATGATTGGTCGAAGCGCGTTACTTGGTGATAGGCACTGAGCGTGTCTGGAAGTTTGCCGTCGTTCCTTGTCACTCACGCCATGGGCTAGCCCTAAGTGTTGAATTCACAGCCCAACTTCATTCTAGGACGCGTCACAATTGTCACAATCGACGGCGATCGATCGTGCCCATCACAGGTGGCGCGGCATCTGCGGGCTGCGTCTCCAATCGCATGGTCGATGCGTCATTTGACGCCATCTGACCTCGGCAATCGGAGGGATATCGATCGTGGCGAGGAGACTGGAGACACTAGACGGAAAAAAGAAACGAAACTATTCCCGAATTGACGAAGTTACTGCACACCCTGTACATCGCTCACAGGGTCGGTGTGACATTTGTTACACGTCCTTAGCACTTCAGGAGGCGCGAAAGTGACCGATATTTGGTTACCAGCGCGAAGCAAGCTGGTGCCAGACATGAGGCGCGGCGAGAAACGCGGTGGGCGGAAAGTCTCGCAATCATTGCAGGAGTGGTACAAATGTAGGCCCGTGAGTTGCGGAGACGTCAATAATGATAACAAATGTCTAGCGCTTACACTCCAGCTATCTCCTCAATAGGATTAGTCAAAGAAGAGTGTGCTAAATTGCAACGTCAAATAGGTGACAAGAAATTGAAGTCTGTAATCAATAAGGGTTCCCAAGTGTGCGCTTATTATTGAATTCCGGCCATAAGCGCAGTTCTTGAGATGGAATGGCATGCGCCTAACATAGGCCAGCGCTTATATCCGGGGCGGGGCCATACGGTACAGCAAACCTATTCATGATTCATTAGTAAATATAGTCACTTATAGTAAGCGCACACACACACACGCCGCCTGAACAAGCAGCCCCAGGGTTTGTACTGTCATGACTCACTATGTGCATGGAGAAATTAGTGGGTTAGTGTCAAATCAAACAGTCAGAAAATATGACCTTGGAGCGTGCCACCACCTACATCAAGAGAGGCAGATGAGCAACATCCACCATCCCCACACCTCCTGTTGCTGGCCTCTCTCACCTATACCATCAACCAATCGCACCTGTTTAAGTTTAACCCTTTCTGCAGCCCTTCCACCAGCAACATTACTTCCCCTTCGAGCAGCCAAGGACACTACCACCGCCTCCCTCTCCTCCGTTGCACATGCGTGGCTTGAAGCCTTCTTTCACTGCCTGCTCAGCCATCCTGTGCTTCCAGCCTCGCCGTAACAAGGTTAGTCAGTCTGCATGTGCACGGCCTGCAGTAGCCATACCATCAATCACACATCTGCTTGTGAATGCTACTCTGGCACCGCTGTGTGCACGCCACGCTGCGCCTCGCCACGCACTCCATGCCAAACATGCCGTCATCTTGGGATCATCGGATGCGGGGCAGCAGCAGGAAGCCATCGAAGCCAGGGTGCCGGCCTGCTGTGCTGCGCACCGACCGCCTTCCTCCACCCGCCCCTCCCTCCACCACCCCGCCTCCCCTGCTCCCACCTTCTGCACCACCTGCTGCACCCTCTCGCCCCAAACTCTCACTTTCACTCGCTCTGCCATGCTGCCACGCACTGCCAACTGTCACACCCTCTGCTGCCGCTGCTGTTGCGCTTTCATGTGGGCGAGGGCTCATCTTCCCCTGGCCTGCTGTTGCGCTTTCATGTGGGCGAGGGCTCATCTTCCCCTGGCCTGCTGTTGCGCTTTCATGTGGGCGAGGGCTCATCTTCCCCTGGCCTGCTGTTGCGCTTTCATGTGGGCGAGGGCTCATCTTCCCCTGGCCTGCTCTTGCGCTTTCATGTGGGCGAGGGCTCATCTTCCCCTGGCCTGCTCTTGCGCTTTCATGTGGGCGAGGGCTCATCTTCCCCTGGCCTGCTCTTGCGCTTTCATGTGGGCGAGGGCTCATCTTCCCCTGGCCTGCTCTTGCGCTTTCATGTGGGCGAGGGCTCATCTTCCCCTGGCCTGCTCTTGCGCTTTCATGTGGGCGAGGGCTCATCTTCCCCTCGCCTGCTCTTGCGCTTTCATGTGGCCGAGGGCTCATCTTCCCCTCGCCTGCTCTTGCGCTTTCATGTGGCCGAGGGCTCATCTTCCCCTCGCCTGCTCTTGCGCTTTCATGTGGCCGAGGGCTCATCTTCCCCTCGCCTGCTCTTGCGCTTTCATGTGGCCGAGGGCTCATCTTCCCCTCGCCTGCTCTTGCGCTTTCATGTGGCCGAGGGCTCATCTTCCCCTCGCCTGCTCTTGCGCTTTCATGTGGCCGAGGGCTCATCTTCCCCTCGCCTGCTCTTGCGCTTTCATGTGGCCGAGGGCTCATCTTCCCCTCGCCTGCTCTTGCGCTTTCATGTGGCCGAGGGCTCATCTTCCCCTCGCCTGCTCTTGCGCTTTCATGTGGCCGAGGGCTCATCTTCCCCTCGCCTGCTCTTGCGCTTTCATGTGGCCGAGGGCTCATCTTCCCCTCGCCTGCTCTTGCGCTTTCATGTGGCCGAGGGCTCATCTTCCCCTCGCCTGCTCTTGCGCTTTCATGTGGCCGAGGGCTCATCTTCCCCTCGCCTGCTCTTGCGCTTTCATGTGGCCGAGGGCTCATCTTCCCCTCGCCTGCTCTTGCGCTTTCATGTGGCCGAGGGCTCATCTTCCCCTCGCCTGCTCTTGCGCTTTCATGTGGCCGAGGGCTCATCTTCCCCTCGCCTGCTCTTGCGCTTTCATGTGGCCGAGGGCTCATCTTCCCCTCGCCTGCTCTTGCGCTTTCATGTGGCCGAGGGCTCATCTTCCCCTCGCCTGCTCTTGCGCTTTCATGTGGCCGAGGGCTCATCTTCCCCTCGCCTGCTCTTGCGCTTTCATGTGGCCGAGGGCTCATCTTCCCCTCGCCTGCTCTTGCGCTTTCATGTGGCCGAGGGCTCATCTTCCCCTCGCCTGCTCTTGCGCTTTCATGTGGCCGAGGGCTCATCTTCCCCTGGCCTGCTCTTGCGCTTTCATGTGGCCGAGGGCTCATCTTCCCCTGGCCTGCTCTTGCGCTTTCATGTGGCCGAGGGCTCATCTTCCCCTCGCCTGCTGTGCGTGTGCCTGGCATGGCACTCTCAATCGCCCGCACCCTGTCTCCACTTCTCTTATCTTGGCTATCTCCCCTGCCTTTCCTCCTCTGACCCTCACCGCCCTTCCCTTCTAGGCAGCAAACCTTTTCTGCTGAGCTAGCAACCTTGGCTGCTGAGCTGGCAACCTTGGCGGTCGAGCTGGCAGTCATACCAGTAGAGGGGACCGTGGTACCAACAGAGCAGGCAGCAGTGCCAGCTGCTGTGCCAGCAGCAGCTGCTGCAGCAGTGGAGCCAACAGCGCAGTGAGCAGGTGCGTTGGGAGGAGCAGGAGGGTGTGTGGCAGCAAGAGCTCAAGGTGGCTCGGCCGTGCTGACAGCACCTGCCTTGGGTCGGTCGCTGCGCCGCTTCTTGAGGACCGGGAAGGAGAGAGCGGGCTGCTTGAGGGGCAATGTTGAGAGTTTGGAGATGCGGTCTGCAGTGGTACCGGCGGTGGCACTTGTGGTGGCACCTGTGGTGGCAGCTGCGGTGGTAGCTGTGGCGGCAGCTGTGGTGGCAGCAGTGGTGGCAGCTGTGGTGGCAGCTGTGGTGGCAGCTGTGGTGGCAGCTGTGGTGGCAGTTGTGGTGGTAGCTGTGGTGGCAGCTGTGGTGGTAGCTGTGGTGGCAGCTGTGGCGGCAGCTGTGGTGGCAGCTGTGGTAATAGCTGTGGTGGTAGCTTTGGTGGCAGGGCAGGATACCTGTGATGTGTCTCCACGGCTCGCGAGTGTATCATCTTGAGGCGCTCTTGCTGTTGCTCGTATGCTTGCTGTGGTTGTTCGTGTGGATCCTGTTGCGGTTACTCCATTGCTTCCTGCTGTGCTTGCTGCTGCTGCAGCGACGGCGGCTAACTCAGCTGATAGCAGCACAGCAGCTTGTTCTTCTGCTGCTGCCTTGCTGCGCTGCACCCCACCAGCACTTCCCGCACTGCCAGCACACCCATCCCCATCGCCATCGCCATCGCTGCTGTCTCCCGCCCTCACCTCACCGCCTCCCCCACCACTCCCCTCCCCTCCCTCTCTCCTCCTCTTCCTCACGGACCTGCTCCTCTTCCCACTCACTCTCACGCCTGCCCCTGCCTCACCCCCTGGGGCAGGCGGGCAGGCAGCTGGCGATGCCAGCGGTGCAGGCAGAGGAGCAGCAGCAGGGGAGGTGGCCGGGGGGGCAGGGAGTGAAGGGGAGAGAGGGCGAGAGGCCATGCGGGATGGATCGGTGGGTTGAGGAAGGGAGGAGCAGGCAGGCAGAAGCGGTGAGGCGATGCAGGAGGCGGGGGCAGGCTCGTATGTTACAGTCGGGCCACGGGGGCAGGTTGTAGCACAAGCAGGCACGGCCATGCAGCTGCCTCCTTGCAGGGCCGCTGTGTGCAGGGCGCGAGGGCTCCTCTTGCCCTTGGTGGCTGCGGCCGTGGCACCAGCGCCAGCTGAGGCAACTGTGGCAGCGGTAGCAGCAGCGACAGCGGTGGCAGCGGAGGCAGTACCACTGGTCGCCACACTGCATGCAGCCCTGGGAGCAACACTCACACTCGCTTCTGCTGCACCCCCAACAGCCACTGCTCCTGCTCTCCCCTTACCCACACGCACTGCCTTGCCTTCCCCGCCTGCTGCCAGCTTCCGCTTGGCACTGCGAGAGCCTTTCAGCCCGGACGCCTTCAGTTCCGAGGCAGCACCTGCGGTGCCGATTCCCCCACGTGCTGTCGCAGCTGCTTTGCCTGACGGCGCTACAGTTTTTGCTACAGCCAGAGGCGTCGCTGTGCGTGCGGGAGAGGGTGCGGTGAGCAGCGATGCAGTGGGTGGTGCGGTGGGAGGAGGCGATTGAGTGGCAGGAGGAGTAGTTGCAGCGGTATCAGCCTTGAGGCGCGATGCCAGGCGGGCCACAGCGCGGCGCAGGGTCTGATAGTGGCGCGGGGTGGCAGGGAGAGGAGGGACAGGGAAGGGAGATAAGGTGAATGCAGCAAGAGGTGAATAGTCAGCAGCACTTGATCAGCATTCTCCATGACGACAGCAGCAGGTTCGCTGCTCACCTTGATCTCTGGGCGCAGGTCCACAGGCAGGGCAGAGGCGTGGCTGATGAGCGCGCGCAGATGTGACAGACGCTGGGCGGCCTGGCGCTCTGACAGCTGTGACTGAGATGAGAGTGCCTTGCTGAAGCAAGACAGCCACTCAGAACGGCATCAGTTGTGCCTACTGTGTGCGAGCCCTGGAGGACAGACAAGGGAGGGGAGGGGTGAAGGAGGAGGATTGAGAGATGGAAGAAGGTGGGACAGAAAAAGACTCTTGGCATGCACACAGAGAGTATAATGGAGCGAAGAGAGCAACGGAAAGACAAGAGAAGTGGGGTTGGAGACACTAAGATCTGCTCGTTACACAGTATCGCCGTAAGTGCAATTCTGTTTGTATAAGCCACTATCTCACCGTCTGCACCAGCTGTGCCAGGGTGGAAGGTCGGGGCCGTGGGCGGCCAATGAGAGCGCTACACGTGGCAGCCCTCCAGCAGTGGGCGGCCACTGCCCTCTGCATCACCGCCAGCGTGCCGACCGCCCGACTTCCTCAGCACCAAGGTAGTCGACAGCGGCAGCAGAGGCGACCGAGGGGAGAAGGGGGGGAGGGGAACACCCGTCAAAGAAGGGCGTGCGGGGGTCGCCACAAGAGGCACCTACAGCAACTATGCTAGCCTCAGCTGCAAGCAGATGCTTCTCGAGCAGGTCAACGGTGAGCTCGGTGGGGCAGAGGGCGAGAAAGTGGTCCCTGACTGCGCGAAGAGAGTCAGGGAGACGGGTGACTAGGTGGTAGAGAACGAGGTACATCGGGGGCGGATTCTTGGCGAGGAACTCAGCAGGAAGGGCGGCTCGGTAGCGAGTGTCACTAGTGCGGAGGTGTGTAATGACGTCAGCGACTGTGGGAAAGGCGGCCAAATCGGGGAAGAGATAGGGCAGCGAGAGACGGTCGATCGTAGCAGAGGCAGGCGAGGAGTAGCGCGCGACTACTGCATCGTACAGTGCCTTAGCAGTCTTGTGCTGGCCAAAATGCGCGCGCTAATCTAACGGCCGGTGACTGCAAATGGCTAGGCGAGCGTGAGCGTCACGAGTCTGCCACTGGGAGCGAGCTGTACTGTCAGCAGTCTCTACAAGTGCTAGAGCGGTTCCGGACGCGTGATCATACAGTGAGACATCGTCCTTGGCAGTGATCTGTAGGAACAGGTGGAGGTCGTCGAGCCAAGCATCAATCTGAATCGGACGGCCCTCAGCATCGAAAGAGAGGACGGTGGGACTAGCCATAGTGGCAGCAGTAGTAGTAGCAGCAGTAGCAGTAGCAGCAGTAGCAGTAGGAACAGAAGCAGTAGGAGCGGGCGGAACAGCAGTAGCAGTAGGGCAGCGCGGCACGGTTCGGGCAGGGCGGCTCGGCGCGGCTCGGGCAGGGCGGCGCGGCGCGGCTCGGACTGGGCTATGCGGCGCGGCTCGGACGGGCAGGGCGGCGCTACGGTGGGCCTGCGCGTGGGCTGCTGTTGCGTACGGGCCGCGGCTGCGCGTGGGCTGCAGTCGCACGCGGGCAGCGAGCTACGCGCTGGCTGCAGCGGCCGGTGCGCAAGCAGCTGCGACGCGCGGGCTGCGCGCGGGGCCGCACGGTGACGGCGCAGGCTGCGCGCGGGCGGTGCTGGTCGTGCGTGGGCGGTTAACGGCCTACGCGCGCTAGAAACGGGCCGCGCGCGGGCGGCTAGCGGGCTGCACGCGCTAAAAACGGGCCGCGCGCGGGCGGCTAGCGAGCTGCGCACGGGCAGCGTGAGAGAGAGAGGCGCGCGAGGGCGCACTAGCAGAGAGGCGCACGAGGGCGCGAAAGTGGTAGGGCGCTCGAGGGCGCTTCTAGCAGAACGGTGGGCCCTTAGGACTAAGCGGTCCTAGGTTCCTAACCTAGGCTCGTAATACCATGTCAGAATGAACAAGATTGTTTGCACTAGGAAAGAGGTGGGTACAAGTAGGAAACCCTAAACTTACTGTACCCCATAGTAACTACCCCACTACAGCCTAAACCAGCTGTAGCAGATATAACATTTGACACGCGTCCAGTCAGAATGAGCCGTCACGCCTGTGAAGTGACGTGCCAAAGCTCTGTGCACAGTCAGAGAATGCCCTCGCGCGATTCTGATTCAGGAACCTGTAGGATTTCGATTCGTTAGAATTTACGAGACTGAAATAGATTTTGGTGTGTTTAAATTGTATTTCTTTTTATATAAGCACCGGCGCTTATGGCCGTTACTCAATTACAAGACCCCCCTTAAAAAAATGAGTGTATTATAAGCGCATATGCGCTACTATCTGGGGCCAGACTATACATGATATGTGTTTCGGCCAGGCAAGATACTAAAACCTAGTGTAACCATATGAAGCAGCCTGTGAACGCAAGAATCACATCGAACTGAGGACACTCATGAGACTGGCTTAAATGTGAACCGTGACTAAACAACGACGCATGTTGTCAAACTTATATGCTATAGTCTGTGGGAGAAAGGCCCCGCCCTCGCTTGGGCGCAGCCGATCTCATTGTCGACGAGAAGTTCGCGACGGGTTGGTCGACAAAATGGGCTTCTGCAGTTCGACGGAAGTTGCGGTCGAGCAGGCTGTGCTCGACAGAATCCGGTCAACGAGCTCTGCGTCTGGTCGACGATCTCTGCGCGAAGAGCTCCCGTCAAAGAGCGCTGGTCGACGATCCTGGTCGAAGAAATCTGGTCGAAGAGTTCGGGTCGATGAGCGCTGCTCGGCGAACGCTGTTCAACCGAGCGGTGTCCAAAAGATCGACCAAACTTGCAGAGGTGTGCGAAACTCTGAGGAGGTGTGCGAAACTTCGCCGAGAAGGTATTGGCGAAGTTTGACCTGCGGAATGGCAGCACGTGGTCGACGGTGCGCACCTGGCGAAACAGACAACATGTATTCTACCTGGCACCTACGCAATGTGCCTGACGGTGAAACCAAATATCACAGAAAATATTCCTCACGTTGCGTCTCAAGAAGAACGTTCCTCACATTGCATCACCCATCATTCATTCCCCTCTCCCCTGCCCCACTCAAACCACGAGTCACCTTTTTCTAACCCTTCAGCTCCCCTCCCTGCCTCACCCAAAGTACCTTGTAGCTTGCCTTACTCTTTCCACTCTCTTCCCTACCTCACTCAAAGGACTGTTTACCTTGCCTAACCCCTCCCAGACTTGTCCCACATGGCCTCACTCCTTTCCCTGCCCCACCAAACACTCCAATAAATCTCATGGTCTTCTGAACTACGAGGCTAAGTAGGATGGAATCGATATAGGAGAGAACTGCCTGATGAAAATGCCTGGTCTAGAAAGGTACGGGGGCAACTCAGCAGCAGTACGGGGTAAGAATATAGTTGAAGTAGGTAACTGATCCTATCACAACTTGTTAAAGCAGGTGAAATAAAGGCGGAATAATTCCAACTTGGATTATTATGCTATGATCCAAGCGATTTGATTCTCAAGCAGCCGAGCTCCATAATGCCCATATAGTCCAATTATTTTCAGTCGTGAAAGAACTACCACCCTTCCCCCTTTCTAAGCACACATTGTTCCCATACAAGTCAACCACCCAACCCCAAACAGCACCCCGAGCACATGCAAACAGCAACAATACCTTCCTTGGTTATCAACCACTGCCCTGCTCTACTTGCGTCCGAGATTTCCAAAGAAGTTTGTGGCCTTCTCGAACCCTTGCTTCACGTCGTCCGCTGCCTTCCTGGTACCTTCCCCAACCTTCTCAAACCCCTGCTTCACCTCATTCGCTGCCTTCTTGGTATCCTCCCACCCTTTCTCCAGCTTTTCCGCTTGCTTCTTTTTGTCTTTCACCATCCTATCCCATTCCTTCTTAGAATACTTCGCAAGCTCCTTTCCAACCTCAGCGATGGCTTTCATTTCACTCGGCCCGATCTTCACCTTGACCGCCTTCCCCTTGAGCATCCGTCGGATCTCCTGCATCAGTGGTAAGATGGACGCATCTTTGACTGCCACTGGGGAGGACAGGTCGTCCGCCGCCAAGACGCCAACATCCCGCGCAGGATCAGATTCGAATATCGGCGCTGTAGCGGAGACCACATGCGCGGCGGCAATGAGCAAAGAGAGCACCAGTAAGAAAACGCGAAGCACGGCCATTGTAAGCAACCACCGGATTGGATTCGAAGGAAGCAGATGGAGTGGCCTCGCAAATGAATTGTGCGGAGCTAAATAGTGCCGCGAGCTGGGGCTGGTTTACTATAGGTTGGGTGCGGTCGATGCGATTATTCGTTGCTAGAGGCTATTGGCGCGACGCGAAATCTGCCGCTGGAAACGGGATGATTGGTCGAAGCGCGTTACTTGGTGATAGGCACTGAGCGTGTCTGGAAGTTTGCCGTCGTTCCTTGTCACTCACGCCATGGGCTAGCCCTAAGTGTTGAATTCACAGCCCAACTTCATTCTAGGACGCGTCACAATTGTCACAATCGACGGCGATCGATCGTGCCCATCACAGGTGGCGCGGCATCTGCGGGCTGCGTCTCCAATCGCATGGTCGATGCGTCATTTGACGCCATCTGACCTCGGCAATCGGAGGGATATCGATCGTGGCGAGGAGACTGGAGACACTAGACGGAAAAACAGAAACGAAACTATTCCCGAATTGACGAAGTTACTGCACACCCTGTACATCGCTCACAGGGTCGGTGTGACATTTGTTACACGTCCTTAGCACTTCAGGAGGCGCAAAAGTGACCGATATTTGGTTACCAGCGCGAAGCAAGCTGGTGCCAGACATGAAGCGCGGCGAGAAACGCGGTGGGCGGAAAGTCTCGCAATCATTGCAGGAGTGGTACAAATGTAGGCCCGTGAGTTGCGGAGACGTCAATAATGATAACAAATGTCTAGCGCTTACACTCCAGCTATCTCCTCAATAGGATTAGTCAAAGAAGAGTGTGCTAAATTGCAACGTCAAATAGGTGACAAGAAATTGAAGTCTGTAATCAATAAGGGTTCCCAAGTGTGCGCTTATTATTAAATTCCGGCCATAAGCGCAGTTCTTGAGATAGAATGGCATGCGCCTAGTTAGGCCAGCGCTTATATCCGGGGCGGGGCCATACGGTACAGCAAACCTATTCATGATTCATTAGTAAATATAGTCACTTATAGTAAGCGCACACACACACACGCCGCCTGAACAAGCAGCCCCAGGGTTTGTACTGTCATGACTCACTATGTGCATGGAGAAATTAGTGGGTTAGTGTCAAATCAAACAGTCAGAAAATATGACCTTGGAGCGTGCCACCACCTACATCAAGAGAGGCAGATGAGCAACATCCACCATCCCCACACCTCCTGTTGCTGGCCTCTCTCACCTATACCATCAACCAATCGCACCTGTTTAAGTTTAACCCTTTCAGCAGCCCTTCCACCAGCAACATTACTTCCCCTTCGAGCAGCCAAAGACACTACCACCGCCTCCCTCTCCTCCGTTGCACATGCGTGGCTTGAAGCCTTCTTTCACTGCCTGCTCAGCCATCCTGTGCTTCCAGCCTCGCCGTAACAAGGTTAGTCAGTCTGCATGTGCACGGCCTGCAGTAGCCATACCATCAATCACACATCTGCTTGTGAATGCTACTCTGGCACCGCTGTGTGCACGCCACGCTGCGCCTCGCCACGCACTCCATGCCAAACATGCCGTCATCTTGGGATCATCGGATGCGGGGCAGCAGCAGGAAGCCATCGAAGCCAGGGTGCCGGCCTGCTGTGCTGCGCACCGACCGCCTTCCTCCACCCGCCCCTCCCTCCACCACCCCGCCTCCCCTGCTCCCACCTTCTGCACCACCTGCTGCACCCTCTCGCCCCAAACTCTCACTTTCACTCGCTCTGCCATGCTGCCACGCACTGCCAACTGTCACACCCTCTGCTGCCGCTGCTGTTGCGCTTTCATGTGGCGGAGGGCTCATCTTCCCCTGGCCTGCTGTTGCGCTTTCATGTGGCGGAGGGCTCATCTTCCCCTGGCCTGCTCTTGCGCTTTCATGTGGCCGAGGGCTCATCTTCCCCTGGCCTGCTCTTGCGCTTTCATGTGGCCGAGGGCTCATCTTCCCCTGGCCTGCTCTTGCGCTTTCATGTGGCCGAGGGCTCATCTTCCCCTGGCCTGCTCTTGCGCTTTCATGTGGCCGAGGGCTCATCTTCCCCTGGCCTGCTCTTGCGCTTTCATGTGGCCGAGGGCTCATCTTCCCCTGGCCTGCTCTTGCGCTTTCATGTGGCCGAGGGCTCATCTTCCCCTGGCCTGCTCTTGCGCTTTCATGTGGCCGAGGGCTCATCTTCCCCTGGCCTGCTCTTGCGCTTTCATGTGGCCGAGGGCTCATCTTCCCCTGGCCTGCTCTTGCGCTTTCATGTGGCCGAGGGCTCATCTTCCCCTGGCCTGCTCTTGCGCTTTCATGTGGCCGAGGGCTCATCTTCCCCTGGCCTGCTCTTGCGCTTTCATGTGGCCGAGGGCTCATCTTCCCCTGGCCTGCTCTTGCGCTTTCATGTGGCCGAGGGCTCATCTTCCCCTGGCCTGCTCTTGCGCTTTCATGTGGCCGAGGGCTCATCTTCCCCTGGCCTGCTCTTGCGCTTTCATGTGGCCGAGGGCTCATCTTCCCCTGGCCTGCTCTTGCGCTTTCATGTGGCCGAGGGCTCATCTTCCCCTGGCCTGCTCTTGCGCTTTCATGTGGCCGAGGGCTCATCTTCCCCTGGCCTGCTCTTGCGCTTTCATGTGGCCGAGGGCTCATCTTCCCCTGGCCTGCTCTTGCGCTTTCATGTGGCCGAGGGCTCATCTTCCCCTGGCCTGCTCTTGCGCTTTCATGTGGCCGAGGGCTCATCTTCCCCTGGCCTGCTCTTGCGCTTTCATGTGGCCGAGGGCTCATCTTCCCCTGGCCTGCTCTTGCGCTTTCATGTGGCCGAGGGCTCATCTTCCCCTGGCCTGCTCTTGCGCTTTCATGTGGCCGAGGGCTCATCTTCCCCTGGCCTGCTCTTGCGCTTTCATGTGGCCGAGGGCTCATCTTCCCCTGGCCTGCTCTTGCGCTTTCATGTGGCCGAGGGCTCATCTTCCCCTGGCCTGCTCTTGCGCTTTCATGTGGCCGAGGGCTCATCTTCCCCTGGCCTGCTCTTGCGCTTTCATGTGGCCGAGGGCTCATCTTCCCCTGGCCTGCTCTTGCGCTTTCATGTGGCCGAGGGCTCATCTTCCCCTGGCCTGCTCTTGCGCTTTCATGTGGCCGAGGGCTCATCTTCCCCTGGCCTGCTCTTGCGCTTTCATGTGGCCGAGGGCTCATCTTCCCCTGGCCTGCTCTTGCGCTTTCATGTGGCCGAGGGCTCATCTTCCCCTGGCCTGCTCTTGCGCTTTCATGTGGCCGAGGGCTCATCTTCCCCTGGCCTGCTCTTGCGCTTTCATGTGGCCGAGGGCTCATCTTCCCCTGGCCTGCTCTTGCGCTTTCATGTGGCCGAGGGCTCATCTTCCCCTGGCCTGCTCTTGCGCTTTCATGTGGCCGAGGGCTCATCTTCCCCTGGCCTGCTCTTGCGCTTTCATGTGGCCGAGGGCTCATCTTCCCCTGGCCTGCTCTTGCGCTTTCATGTGGCCGAGGGCTCATCTTCCCCTGGCCTGCTCTTGCGCTTTCATGTGGCCGAGGGCTCATCTTCCCCTGGCCTGCTCTTGCGCTTTCATGTGGCCGAGGGCTCATCTTCCCCTGGCCTGCTCTTGCGCTTTCATGTGGCCGAGGGCTCATCTTCCCCTGGCCTGCTCTTGCGCTTTCATGTGGCCGAGGGCTCATCTTCCCCTGGCCTGCTGTGCGTGTGCCTGGCATGGCACTCTCAATCGCCCGCACCCTGTCTCCACTTCTCTTATCTTGGCTATCTCCCCTGCCTTTCCTCCTCTGACCCTCACCGCCCTTCCCTTCTAGGCAGCAAACCTTTTCTGCTGAGCTAGCAACCTTGGCTGCTGAGCTGGCAACCTTGGCGGTCGAGCTGGCAGTCATACCAGTAGAGGGGACAGTGGTACCAACAGAGCAAGCAGCAGTGCCAGCTGCAGTGCCAGCAGCAGCAGCTGCAGCAGTGGAGCCAACAGCGCAGTGAGCAGGTGCGTTGGGAGGAGCAGGAGGGTGTGTGGCAGCAAGAGCTCAAGGTGGCTCGGCCGTGCTGACAGCACCTGCCTTGGGTCGGTCGCTGCGCCGCTTCTTGAGGACCGGGAAGGAGAGAGCGGGCTGCTTGAGGGGCAATGTTGAGAGTTTGGAGATGCGGTCTGCAGTGGTACCGGCGGTGGCACTTGTGGTGGCACCTGTGGTGGCAGCTGCGGTGGTAGCTGTGGCGGCAGCTGTGGTGGCAGCAGTGGTGGCAGCTGTGGTGGCAGCTGTGGTGGCAGCTGTGGTGGCAGCTGTGGTGGCAGCTGTGGTGGCAGTTGTGGTGGCAGTTGTGGTGGCAGCTGTGGTGGCAGCTGTGGTGGGAGCTGTGGTGGCAGCTGTGGCGGCAGCTGTGGTGGCAGCTGTGGTAATAGCTGTGGTGGTAGCTTTGGTGGCAGGGCAGGATACCTGTGATGTGTCTCCACGGCTCGCGAGTGTATCATCTTGAGGCGCTCTTGCTGTTGCTCGTATGCTTGCTGTGGTTGTTCGTGTGGATCCTGTTGCGGTTACTCCATTGCTTCCTGCTGTGCTTGCTGCTGCTGCAGCGACGGCGGCTAACTCAGCTGATAGCAGCACAGCAGCTTGTTCTTCTGCTGCTGCCTTGCTGCGCTGCACCCCACCAGCACTTCCCGCACTGCCAGCACACCCATCCCCATCCCCATCCCCATCGCCATCGCCATCGCTGCTGTCTCCCGCCCTCACCTCACCGCCTCCCCCACCACTCCCCTCCAAACTACCTCTCTCCTCCTCTTCCTCACGGACCTGCTCCTCTTCCCACTCACTCTCACGCCTGCCCCTGCCTCACCCCCTGGGGCAGGCGGGCAGGCAGCTGGCGATGCCAGCGGTGCAGGCAGAGGAGCAGCAGCAGGGGAGGTGGCCGGGGGGGCAGGGAGTGAAGGGGAGAGAGGGCGAGAGGCCATGCGGGATGGATTGGTGGGTTGAGGAAGGGAGGAGCAGGCAGGCAGAAGCGGTGAGGCGATGCAGGAGGCGGGGGCAGGCTCGTATGTTACAGTCGGGCCACGGGGGCAGGTTGTAGCACAAGCAGGCACGGCCATGCAGCTGCCTCCTTGCAGGGCCGCTGCGTGCAGGGCGCGAGGGCTCCTCTTGCCCTTGGTGGCTGCGGCCGTGGCACCAGCGCCAGCTGAGGCAACTGTGGCAGCGGTAGCAGCAGCGACAGCGGTGGCAGCGGAGGCAGTACCACTGGTCGCCACACTGCATGCAGCCCTGGGAGCAACACTCACACTCGCTTCTGCTGCACCCCCAACAGCCACTGCTCCTGCTCTCCCCTTACCCACACGCACTGCCTTGCCTTCCCCGCCTGCTGCCAGCTTCCGCTTGGCACTGCGAGAGCCTTTCAGCCCGGACGCCTTCAGTTCCGAGGCAGCACCTGCGGTGCCGATTCCCCCACGTGCTGTCGCAGCTGCTTTGCCTGACGGCGCTACAGTTTTTGCTACAGCCAGAGGCGTCGCTGTGCGTGCGGGAGAGGGTGCGGTGAGCAGCGATGCAGTGGGTGGTGCGGTGGGAGGAGGCGATTGAGTGGCAGGAGGAGTAGTTGCAGCGGTATCAGCCTTGAGGCGCGATGCCAGGCGGGCCACAGCGCGGCGCAGGGTCTGATAGTGGCGCGGGGTGGCAGGGAGAGGAGGGACAGGGAAGGGAGATAAGGTGAATGCAGCAAGAGGTGAATAGTCAGCAGCACTTGATCAGCATTCTCCATGACGACAGCAGCAGGTTCGCTGCTCACCTTGATCTCTGGGCGCAGGTCCACAGGCAGGGCAGAGGCGTGGCTGATGAGCGCACGCAGATGTGATAGACGCTGGGCGGCCTGGCGCTCTGACAGCTGTGACTGAGATGAGAGTGCCTTGCTGAAGCAAGACAGCCACTCAGAAGCTGCCTCGTGTCGCTGTTTGGCTTCCCCGAGAACGTTGTTGTGCCTACTGTGTGCGAGCCCTGGAGGACAGACAGGGGAGGGGAGGGGTGAAGGAGGAGGATTGAGAGATGGAAGAAGGTGGGACAGAAAAAGACTCTTGGCATGCACACAGAGAGTATAATGGAGCGAAGAGAGCAACGGAAAGACAAGAGAAGTGGGGTTGGAGACACTAAGATCTGCTCGTTACACAGTATCGCCGTAAGTGCAATTCTGTTTGTATAAGCCACTATCTCACCGTCTGCACCAGCTGTGCCAGGGTGGAAGGTCGGGGCCGTGGACGGCCAATGAGAGCGCTACACGTGGCAGCCCTCCAGCAGTGGGCGGCCACTGCCCTCTGCATCACCGCCAGCGTGCCGCCCGCCTCAACAGAGCAGCCTGTCCCTGCCTCCGACACCGCCGCTGCCGCTGGCCCTGTCGGCACTGTTGGCCCTCCTCCACCATCCTTGGCGCTCTGCCCTGCCGACTGCTGCACCTCCTGTTGCCCTCCAGCCACCACTCCCACAGTCGCTGCCGCGGCAGCAGCTGCAGTGCCGGTGACATGCTTCGTGTGATCCCCTTGCACCAGATGCTGCTGCTGCTGCTGGCGTGTGGGCGGTGAGAGAACTGCATTCACGTGCAGCAGCCACGAGGCAAGAGGCTCTGCTGCCTGCGCTGCTATTGAATCTGGTGCCGCTGGTGTGGCAGCAGGGGCAGTGGAGGAGAGCGATGGCGGAGAGGCAAGTGGCATGTCGAGTGGAAGACAGGAGGCCACCTGCAGATGGGATGCGGATTGGGGGTTGAGAGTGAGTGACTGAAGGCCCGATCGCAAACAAAGATTTGACAAGTGGCAGGAGATGATATCATTTGAAATATAAAGATAAATACCTACTTGAGACAAAGGGTCAGCCATAACCTGAAACAATGCTGAAAAATCACCTGAAGCAGACAGCTGAGTATGGAGGGAGGCAGGGGTTCGGCATGACGTGGCAAGGACAGGGTGGTGGAGAGCGCTGATGTCAGCAAGTGAGAGCAACGCGTTGCTGATTGGACGAGTTGCTCCAAGCTGTGCACGGCTGCGATCCTGGTGGGGCCGAGCAGAGAGTGAGAGAGCGAACAGGGGGGGACATGCCGCACGATGCAAGAAGCAGGCTGGCTGAAATGTGCACCCTGCTCTGAGTCGAGAGAGGATGGGGTTCAGCTTGGCCGAGAGAGTGTGTGCGCATGGCAAACCGGGTGCAATGCGTGTGTGGTGGCGGGGGCACAAGCATACATCTGTGCAATGCGTGAATGCCATGTGCGGGAAAGTGCGCGTTGAAGTGAGCAAGAGCGTGCAAGCATGTGCACATGCGTGCATGTGTACACGTTTGGATGAGCGAGAGCGGTACCTGGGGTGGAGAGGGAGAGCGCGAGAGAGCAGGCCCACCAAGCACCGCAGCGACACGCGGGGCAGGCGACGAGGCTGCACAGCAGGAGGGCGTGAGGGACAGACGAGGGGGAGGGGGAGGGAGAAGCATGGAGAGGAGCGAGTGGAGGGAGCGAGTGGAGGGAGCGAGTGGAGGGAGCATGCACTCGCGCTGCTGGTGGCAAGTGAGGCGGATGCATGTGCAGGTGGAAGAGGGACGTGCAGGTGGAAGAGGGACGTGCAGGTGGAAGAGGGACGTGCAAGTGGAAGAGGGACGTGCAAGCGTGCTCCTGTGGTGGTATGGCATTTTAGCAGGAGCAGTGGGGCGGCAGGACGTACATGGAACAATGCTGAGACGGCAGGTGTGACGGCTGCTGAGGCGAGGGAGGAGCAGAACGGGCATGTGAAGGGACCCTGCTGCTGCTGCTGCTGCTGCTGCTGCTGCGGCGGCAACGGCTGCTGTTGCTCAGTGCTCTGGTCGTGCCGTTGCCGCTGCTGCGGCTGTGGGTGGCTGTCTCTGTCTGTACCTGGTGGAACTACCCCACCACCCGCCCCCCCACCCTGCTCTGCCCTTGCCTGCTGCTGCCCTGCTGCCTCTCGCTTCTGCTCTTGCGCCTTCTCCTGCTGCTGCTCGTCTTGAGCGGCGGAGGGGGCGGCAGCATGCAAGTATGAGAGACAGTCGGCGTGGAATCTGTGAGGGTGTAGAGTGAGGCAGGCAAGGGGAGGCGGTCGGAGGGAAGGCACACACAATGGAGGGAATGGGAATTGCAGCAGGCTCGCAATGAAGGAAAGGAAATATGCAGTGAGGGTGGGGGAAACCGTGGAGCAAGGAGGGGGGAGTATGCTTTATGATAAGATCCACATACCTCATGCTGCATCCGTCGCATATAAGTGCATCCTTCATGCCTTCGCCCTTCAATCCATATCCATTCTCTAACTTCTGCTCCTCCTCCTTTGCTTCACCCTTCTCCAAACGCACTGCTCCCATATTCCCTTCCCTATCGCCTCTTGCTTCTCCTGCCTTCTCTTCCCTCTTCTCCCATGACATCCCTGCGCCGCCTGCACCACTCTCTCGCCCAACAGCACCGCACACAACAGCAGCGGCTCTCCTCCCACCGCTGCGCTTTCCCCGAACCCGGACATCCCCACCGCCTCCTCCCGCCTGCCCGCCAACCACTGCCTGCCCGTCGCTGCCGCCAGAGAAACCAGCAGAAGCAGCACATGCAGGGTGGGCGTGGTGCAGCACCGCACACCAGCAAACGGTGTCGGACGAAGAGACGCTTCCAGCAACCGCCGCCGCAGCAGCACCAGGCGGAGCAGGTACAGGTGCCTCTGATGCCTCTGGCGCCCCTCGCACTGCTGCTGCTACTGCCGGTGCCACACCTGGTGCCGGCGCATGAGCTGGTGCTGTGGCTGTGGGGGCCGTGGCTGCGGGAGATGCGGCGGCAGCCACGGCATCTGCGGTGGCACCTACTGCACTGCCTGCCAGCACTGCGGGATGAGGAGCATTGGCTGACGCAGAGAAGGGTTGAGCCGGCAGAGCAGTGAGGTGTGAGAGGGCAGCGGTGCGGCGGGCCAGGGAGGAGATGCGATGAAGAGCTGCTTGCACGCTGCTGTGCATGTGCTTCAGCTTCCGCACCACCTCCTCCTCACACACCCGCCCCTTGCCCTCCCCGTGCAGCCCCTTACCCTCCCCTGGTGCCACACTCCCCTCCCCTTGTGCCCCCTCGCCTCCTCCTCTCGCCCCCTCGTCCCCTGAGCCCCCCCGGAGGGCAGCACAGCAGGCAACGAGCCAGTCGTCCAGCGCTGCCACTGCCTGCTGCACCTGCCGGGCCTCCCCGCTCGCCACCACGCTGCTGCTGCCGCGCACCTGGTGTGAGAGTGGGTGGGTGGGCCACAGGGGGAAACGAGGAGCGGTGGCTTGCTTGGGGCAACGTTAAAGAAGGGAGATTGTAGCTGACACTTTGGAGAATTGAAATGAGAGGATTGGATGGAGGGAGAGACGAGATGAGCTGGAGTGGGAATGGAGAAGGGCGCGTTGGAGGAAGAAGGGAGGGAGGGATGGAAGTTAAGGAACACAGCCGAGTGCACATTGCGGGAGGAGATGGAAGCACAGTATGAAACGTGAGATGCCACGCATATTCAGAGATATGGCTTGTGTGAGGCATACCTGGAGGCCCTTGAGGTGCGCAAGTGTTGTGGTAGGTGCACGGGGCAGCAGCGGAGGTGGTGAGGTGGGCGCAGGGAGGCGTGGGGCGAGCAGTTGCTGCACCTCGCTGACCCACTCCCTGGTAGGCAGGGCACATCCACGGAGGGGGGTGGGTGGGCACAAGGGTGTGTGTGTGTGCGCTAGGAGTGGAAGGCACAGCGGTGAGCAAGCACATAAGTGGGCAGCAGCACAGGGACCGAGAGCACAGGAAGAAACTGTGGTGGCCACTCCCTAAACCCCAGCATTGCACCACAACAAGAGACGTGCGTGGGAGAGGTGCAGGCGCTGACCTGTGGGAGGCGATGACGGTGCTGAGCTGGTGGCACTTGTCGTGCACACACACCTGCAAGGCCTGCACCAATAGCATGGCGTGGAGGGGCATGGGGGCCAACGAGAGGCAAGCAACAGATGGGAGGGCACACAGGTGGGGCCACCAGTCGCTACAACGGCTGCAGCAGAGGTGCCTCGAGCTGTGGCTAGTTCACATGGATAGATGGTACAAGGGCGCTGTACACAAAACAGAATAACCAGATTACTACAGATAGAACACACGCACATAACCCCCATTCACCCTAGCGCACAACCCTCACTTCACCCCTTGCTCCACTCCCCTCCCTCCATCTCTCTCACCATGCCACGTGCCACCATCGCCTCCACCTCCTGCACCTCACAGCTGGCAGGGCCACGTGTCAGCATCTCATTGGCCGCCTGCACCCACTGCCGTGCGTCCGCCAGGGCTGAGTGCAGCAGGGAGAGGCGCGCCGAGGGGGGCGGAGAGGGGGCGGATGCAGCAGGCTGAGCAAGGCCCTCGGATGGAGCTGCTGATGGTAGTGGTGGTGCTGATGGCGTTGGGTGGGGTGGAGGGTGGGCGAGCGCATCAGTGAGTGGGTAAGCCGCCACCAGTGCCTCCACCTCCTCCACGCTGGGCTTGCCTCGCCTCTCACCACCACCCTGCACCGCACTGTCCTGCGCCACACCACCACTCTGCACCGCAGTATCTGCAGTGCCAGACAGCAGGGCATGGGCGGCGACCTCCCAGTGCAGGCGCTGCAGCAGCGCGCGCACAGCCGGCAGCTCGGGCACCGCCACGCCCAGTGCTGCCCCCTGGGTGAGCAGCGACGACAGCTCAACCGCACTGGCGCTCGCTGCTGCTGCCGGCACCAGTAGCTCCGGGGGGGGCTTGCCTGCAGGCACAGCTGGTGCTGATGCAAGGGGTGTGGCGCCTGACTCGGTGGCGATGGGCACTGCAGCCGGGCTGGCTTGGGTGCTCTGTGCTGCAGCTGCTGTGGTCGGTGTGACTGTGGTGGGTGGTGAGAGCAAGGTGGTGGCGGTGTGGAGGGCGTGTGAGGTGGCGGATTGCCAGGCGGCGAGAGAAGAGAGCAGCGAGGCGAGCTGTGGTGCGTGCGGTGGACGCACGGGCAGCGCAACGACCTCTGCAGTCAAGGCCTGTGGCAAACGGCGGATGGAGGGGATGTGAGAAGGACGAGGGTAGGTGGGAAAAGGGGGAGACGGGGGAGAGGGTTGGGTGGGGTGGAGGGGGGGAGGGAAGGAGGGAGGATGAGATGGAGTCAGGTGGACGCAGTCAAGTGTACCGGGGTCGAGCTAAGTGAGAGTTGGACACATATGCAGCTAAAAAACAAACAATTGATACCCGTTTCGACATTTGACGCCCAGCTTTCTTTTCCCAGAGCTGACCAGAGAAAAAGAAGTCAGGCCTACCACATACCTCAATCTCTTCCACAGTCACTCGGGCATCCGCGCCCTCCTGCACCCCCCCTCCCTCGCCCTCCCCTCGCCCTCTCCTCCTCCGCTTCCACCTCCCTCCACTGCCTCTCTCCTTCCCCCCAGCGGGGGTAGCAACACCAGCACCAGTACCAGCAGTGACGGCAGCAGCGGAGCGGCGCACAGCCAGCAGCAGCTGGTCGCCTCGAGCTGCTGCTGCCCTTGCTGACGCCAGCACTGACATCAGGTGAGCATGGCCTGCCAGCGATGCTGGGATGGCCTCCGCCTCCCTGTGCGGGCGAGCGAGGGATGTTTGGGGGGGCGGGGAGGAGGCAGTGGGGGTGGGGGGAAAGGGCAAAAGGGGAGGAAGGGGGGATACAGCGGGAAAAGAAACATTTGCGGAGAGGATGGGTGGGCGAGACAGGATGTGAGAATCCCATAGTTGGGATGAGAGGTGAACTCAAAAGTTGGTATATTGGGGAAAAAGAGCAGTACAGTACAAATAGGGCATGAGGTGAGTGAGCACAGTTAAGGTTCCCCCCCACCATTATTGGCTAACCAATGGGATGGGGGCCCCAGCTCAATAAGTGGGGTTGAACCAATTATTGGAGGAGCGAAACATTGAGGGTTTGGCCACCAATGTTGGCTCCCCAACAATAATCGTTGCTTGGGTTGCGGGACCCCAACCAAAAGTCGGACGTCCTCTTCAATGTGTACACCCATGATTTGGGTGTACACTAATAGGTCTAACCATAAACATGATACAATATAACACAGGGTACGTAGCTAAGTGTCTCACACGGAGGGGGATACGGAAGCACGGAATGCGATGCGAGACGCCTTCATGTGGGCAATTGCGCAGTGGACTGGAGGATTCGCCAACATGATTGCATTCACTGCACCACTACCTTTTTTACAACACCTCGTCTCCCCACGTGTATCACTCACCCTCGCCTCCCCCTCTCACCTGCTCATCGCCTCGCCCTCCTCCAGGCTGCACCCCTCCTGCAGCGCCCTCTGCGCCCTGGCCTGCCAGTCGCTGCCTGCCGCCACCACCGCGTGCACGCGCGCCACCACTGCACTGCCCGTGGGCAGCCTGAGGGTGGGGTGAGTACAGGCCGTGGGAGGGATGGGACGGGAGGGAGAGTAGGGTTGGGAGGAGTGGGACAGGTGCGACGGACAGGGTTGAGTGAGAGGCACGGGAGAGGAAGCAGGTGGAGTGTGTGCTTTTCATGACACACCAAATGACAGACATAAGCAGGCCTGAACCTTCAAGCTGCAAGTTGCGAAGGATCTAGTAGCAAGGCAGGAATGTCTCTCTCTCATTCTCTCCCTTTGCCCCATCTATTTCTCTTGAATCTCCCTCCCTCACTCTCCTGCTCTCAACTATCTCCCTACATCTCCCACTCTCCTTGCTCTCCCACACGCTCACCGCTCCCCCTGCGCCTGCAGCGCCAGCAGCTCGTCCACTGATGCACGGCGCATGAGCGCCCCCTCCGCCGCCTCCTCCCACTGCATGCGCTGCAGCTGCTGCTGCACCTGCTCCATCTCGCCCACTGGCAGAAGGGGGGGAGAGGAGTGTGGGGATTTGTGGGTTGGAAGTGGTTCAGGAAAAAACGAAATGTGCAGCAACAGCCACAGCGGTGGCAGCAGTTAGGGATGAGCAAGTGGCGAACACGAACGTGTTCGTGTTCGCCCCTACACGAACACCTTCGTTTGCCGAACCGAACACTGTTCGGTTCGGCGAACACTTTGAGCAAAAAATGGTGTTCGCCGTTCGCCTGTGAAGGCGTGTTCGGGCGAACCTCGAACACTGTTCGTGTTCGTCGCGGGCAAATTGCAGCAGCGGCCCGAACACGAACGTGTTCGGGCGAACATCGAACACTGTTCGGCGAACATTTTAAGCCAAAAAAAAATACCTGTTCGGTTCGCCTCGAACACGTTCGAGGCGAACCGAACAGGTGTTCGTTTTTTTGCTCAACCCTAGCAGCAGTAGCGGCAGGAGGAGGCGATGGAAGCAGAAAACAGTGATGATGATGCTGTTGTTGTTGACCATGCAGGTGTGACGCTGCTCCTGCTCCTCACACTCCCTCTCCACGGCATTCACCGCCCCACCCTCCACCGCTCCACCCTCCACCGCCCCACCCCCACTCACGAGTGACGTGCATGCGCGTGCCGGCCTCCACCAGCGCTGCCAGCTCCTCCTTCCACCCGCTCTGCCTGCCCGACGCGGGTGTGACAGTGGCGGGTGTGACAGTGGCGGGTGTGACAGTGGCGGGTGTGACAGTGGCAAGTGGGACAGCGGCGGAAGGCGACGGGAGAAGCAGAGTAGCTTGGACAGCGGCAGGGCAAGGGGCAGCAAGAGGGGTGGCGTCAGTGGCAGAAGCTGTGAGCGCAGCAGGGGCTGTGGCAGACGGAGTGGGGATGGATGCAGGGTGGTGGGAAGAGGGAGTGCAGGCAGCAACGGTGGGAGGAGGGGTTGCTGGAGAGGGAGCAGCAGCAGCGGTGGTGCGAGTGACAGGCAGGGGGGTGGCAGGAGCAGGTGTGGTGGGGGGAGCAGAAGGGGGAGAGAGTCTGGAGGGGGGAGGGCTGCCCGGGCCACACTTGCTGCTTGCCACACTAGCTGCTCCTGCATGCCCCTGCCCCTCCTCTTGCCCCTGCCCTTCTTTTTTTCCCTGTTTGTGTGCCTGCTTGCCCCTCCCCCCATCCTTGCCCCCCAGTGCCGCCAGCAGTGCGCGTGCCCTCTCTCCCCAGCGCCGTGCGTCGTCCCGCCGGGCCTGCAGCTGCGCCACCGCTGGCAGCCGCACCGCCACGCCCCTCGCCTCCTGCAGCAACCCGTCCATGTCCTGAGGGGGGAAGGACGGGGGGACGGGGATTGAAGACGCACGGGGGGGCGCCGGGTGAGCTTGGGTGGGGAACGAGACACAGGCAGGGAGGCGAGGAAGGGGGGAGGAGGTTTGGGCAATGAGGCGAGCGGGAGAGATGCAAGGAGAAGCAGCGCTGACTGGCGGAACAAAAGGCGCGAAAGCAGGACAGGTTGCCGGGAACGAGAGAGCAGCGCGGTGGACATGGCAGTGTGGGGAGGTGACAGCGAGGTGGGGAGGTGGCAGCGAGGTGGGGAGGTGGCAGCGAGGTGGGGAGGTGGCAGCGAGGTGGGGAGGTGGCAGCGAGGTGGGGTGGTGGCAGCGAGGTGGGCAGGTGGCAGCGAGGTGGGGAGGTGGCAGCGAGGTGGGGAGGTGGCAGCGAGGTGGGGAGGTGGCAGCGAGGTGGGGAGGTGGCAGCGAGGTGGGGAGGTGGCAGCGAGGTGGGGAGGTGGCAGCGAGGTGGGCAGGTGGCAGCGAGGTGGGGAGGTGGCAGCGATGTGGGGAGGTGGCAGCGAGGTGGGGAGGTGGCAGCGAGGTGGGGAGGTGGCAGCGAGGTGGGCAGGTGGCAGCGAGGTGGGCAGGTGGCAGCGAGGTGGGGAGGTGGCAGCGAGGTGGGGAGGTGGCAGCGAGGTGGGGAGGTGGCAGCGAGGTGGGGAGGTGGCAGCGAGGTGGGGAGGTGGCAGCGAGGTGGGCAGGTGGCAGCGAGGTGGGGAGGTGGCAGCGAGGTGGGGAGGTGGCAGCGAGGTGGGGAGGTGGCAGCGAGGTGGGGAGGTGGCAGCGAGGTGGGCAGGTGGCAGCGAGGTGGGCAGGTGGCAGCGAGGTGGGGAGGTGACAGCGAGGTGGGCAGGTGGCAGCGAGGTGGGGAGGTGACAGCGAGGTGGGGAGGTGGCATCGAGGTGGGCAGGTGACAGCGAGGTGGGCAGGTGACAGCGAGGTGGGCAGGTGGCAGCGAGGTGGGCAGGTGGCAGCGAGATGGGCAGGTGACAGCGAGGTGGGCAGGTGGCAGCGAGGTGGGCAGGTGGCAGCGAGGTGGGCAGGTGACAGCGAGGTGGGGAGGTGGCAGCGAGGTGGGGAGGTGGCAGCGAGGTGGGGAGGTGACAGCGAGGTGGGCAGGTGGCAGCGAGGTGGGCAGGTGGCAGCGAGGTGGGCAGGTGGCAGCGAGGTGGGCAGGTGGCAGCGAGGTGGGAGCGAGGTGGGTGTTAAAATATATATTGTGTAGCATGCCAACACATGTGACTGTACACCAATTGTGGTGTACAGTTGGGTTGGGACTACACCCAACTTTGGGTGTAGTCTTGCACTTTGGGGTGCCAATCCACCCAATTGTGGTGGAGCCCCCAAATGCAACCCTCTTGACTTGTGGGTACCTCACTTCCCACAATTGAGGTTACCCCAAGCCAAGTGGGCCTAGGGTTGCCTCACTTCTACAAAGTGTGGGCAACCCAACCCACTTGACCTATGGTTCCCTCACTTCCCCAAGTGAGGTCAACCCAACCTATGGTCACTTTCATCCTTCCCTTCCAACCTTCCCTTCCAACTATGTATGCTAGGTTGTTCCTCTAATCTCATGACTTGTTCAATTTGTTACTTTCACATGGTATAGAGCTACTTGTTCCTAGGCCTTACCTCTCCCTCCCTTCAGTTTTTTTTTCCCATGGGCCCACCCCACAGCTACAAACCCTTTCCTACGCGTGGCTCAACTAGCCATCACTAGCATACTCTTGCCGCGACCTACGCCGTCGCCGCCGTTCCCCCCCCCTCCCGCCGCGATTACGCCTTCCTCGCCTGCGGATTCCACCGCCGCGAGCGCAACGCCGCTGTCCCCTCCTCCCCCCCGCCGCGACCCCCTGTCGCCGCCTCCCCTTCTCGCCGCCGCGCCTGATTCGGCGCTGCCTGCGCATCCTGCCGCCGCGACGCCTCGTCGCCGCCTGCCCGCTGCCCGTCCCTCCGCCGCGACGTCACGTCGCCACGTTCCCGCCGCTGCGCCTGCTACGGCGCCGCCTGCGCATCCTGCCGCCGCGACGCCTCGTCGCCGCCTGCCCGTCCCTCCGCCGCGACGTCTCGTCGCCGCGTTCCCGCCGCCGCGCCTGCTACGGCGCCGCCTGCGCATCCTGCCGCCGCGACACCTCGTCGCCGCCTGCCCGTCCCTCCGCCGCGACGTCTCGTCGCCGCGTTCCCGCCGCCGCGCCTGCTTCGGCGCCGCCTGCGCATCCCGCCGCCGCGACGCCTCGTCGCCGCCTGCCCGTCCCTCCGTCGCGACGTCACGTCGCCGCCTCCCCTTCCCGCCGCCGCGCCTGCTTCGGCGCCGTCTGCCCGTCCCGCCGCCGCGACAGCTCGTCGCCCCCTGCCCGTCCCGCCGCCGCGACCTAACATCGCCGCCTGCGCATTCCGCCGCCGCGACTGCTCGTCGTCACCTCCCCGCCCCCACCACCCCCCCCCCCCCCCGCCGCGATTTCGCATTGCCGCCTCCCCTCCCACCGCCGCACCTGCTTCCGCGTCACCCACGCATCTCGCTGCCCCTTCTGCATCGCCACCCTCCCGCAATTTCCCCCGCCGCAACTGCAACATCGTCGCCCCGCGGTTCCCGTTAACGCCACTGCGCCGCCGCCGCCCTACCGCCGCGACTGCTTCGGCGCCGTCTGCCCATCCTCCACCGCGACCGCGCCATCCCCGCCCACACTTCCTGCCGCCGTGACTACCCCGTCGCCGCCTGCAGATTCAGCCGCAACTGCACCCTCCCTTCCTCCTCTCCCTACTCCTCTCCCCCCCCCCTCCCCCTCCCCCTGCGCCCCTCGTTGCCGCGGCCTGCCTGCCGCCGCCGTCCCTCGTTTCGCCGCCGCGGCCCTTCCGCTGTCGCCTGCGCCCCTCGTCGTCGCGGCCTGCTCGCCGCCGCCGCCCCCGAATTTGCCACCGCCTCCCCTTCCCGCCGCCGCACGTTCGCACAGCCGCCTGCGCCCTTGTCACCGTCGCTCCCTGCACCTTGAACGCCTCTGCCCTCCACCGCTGTCTCCCTCCTTTACCCCCCCCCCCCCCCCCCTCCCTCCTCCTGCCAGCGGCAGCAGCAGCGGCAGCAGGGGAAGTGCAGCAGCCTCCGCAGCAGCAACTTCACCCTTGGCCGCCGCGGGTCCACCCGCCGTCGCCCATCATGACTGCTACCCCCCCTGCCCCTCTCCCCCTTCCTCACTGGAGCAGTGTTACTCCTCGCCCCTCCCTTCTCAACACTCCGACCCTCCACTCCTCCCCCCCCCCTTATCTCCGCCTGCTCACCCCCTCCCCCCCTCCCCATCTGCGGCGTTTCCAGCAGCTCCAGCATCAGCAGCAGCAGGACTTCCAGCAGCGGCAGCAACCACAATTTCTCCAGCCGCACCCCCCACATCTCCTCCAGCCGCGGCAATCGCAGCAGCAGCAGTTCTTCCAACACCAACAGCAGCCGCAATCTCTCCAGCCTCACCCGCCACAGTTTCTCCATCCCCAGCAGCAGCAGTCCTTCCAGCCGCAGCAGCGGCAGTCCTTCCAGCAGCAGCAGCTGCCACAGTTCCTTCCGCCGCAGCAGCAGCAGTCCTTCCAGCAGCAGCGGCAGCCACAGTTTCTTCAGCCGCAGCAGCAGCAGTGCTTCCAGCAGCCGTTCGTATGGCGAGTATTGCTGATGGGGGTGAGTGTGGTGGCGTGGGCGGGTGTGGTGCTATGCCAGGTGCGGTAGGGAGCGGTGTGCTTGGTGCTGCGTTTTGGATCGGCAGCAGTGGTCCGGGCATGAGCAACGGCACGTGGGGCGAGTGGATGGGGCCTGCTAGGTCCGGTGAAACGGAGATCGTTGGTGGGCTAGGTTCGGACGGGCATGCAGGCGGAGGTTCGGAATGCCAGGGTCGGGAGCAGGGGCATTTGAAAGAGGGGAATGGGGCAGTGGAGGAAGATGCAGGTGGGATGGGAGGATTGAAGCGAGTGAGTGAGAAGGAGGAGGAGAAGGAAGTGGAAGACAAGGAGGAGCGAGTAGACGGGAGAGGAACAGAAACGAGCCAGCGAGACGAACGAGGAGGAAAAGGAGGGAGGGGAGGGAAAGGGAGAGGGAGAGTAGAGGGGTCAGTGGAAGTGTCTTCCTTAGGTTCTGACAAGACGACAATGACAATCCCTCGCATGTTCCTGCGGAGCTCCAACCACGAGCAGAGTGAAGGGGATTCCCCTCAGAGCGGCAGTGCGAGTGGTTCGAGCAAGGGAACAGCGCTAGGGGCGGCAGGTGGAAGGAAGGGGAAGCGGGGAGGGACGAGTGGAGGTAGAGGGAGGAGGAAAGGGGTTGGCGGTGGGGAGGGAGGGGGGGGGAAACGGCAGGTGGGAGGCTGGAGGAACTGGACGATCGATACTTGAAGAGGAATATTGGTACCGTAATAACGGTTTATATCATGCGATTGTTGACGAGCAGGTGTATTTGTGTATTTGCATTGGCCTGCTAATTGGCCACTGCTATAGAATCTGGTTTGGTAGGTTACCAAATCTCGCTTACCGTACATGGACTGGGTTTCATTAATCTGGTTGAGAGATGTTGGCTTCTTGTTGTCAAGTTATAGATAAGCAGTTATATCGACATTCTTCTCCTCGTATCGGGTATTGACAGTGACGGATCCTCCGCTCAAAATACCCGTTCCTTTGCTCCCCCATTTCCGTCTCTCCCCCGCCTCACCCCACGCCCCCGAACCCGACCCAAACCCCCCACCTTTTTCAACTCCCAATCGCATCCCTCTCGCCACGCATTTTCGCATTTTCCCCAGCTTCCCTCACCAATAAGCAACTCTCTGCACCTCTTTGCAACTACCCTTTGCCCTCCCCCTCCCTCTCGCCTTCCGCATTTCCAGCCTTCCCAACTTCACCCCGCCCGCTTTCCCTCCGTCGGGCTTGCCGTCGCGCAAGTTCGCACGTATCGTAAACCATCGCCGTGCCTTCGTCTGCATTGCATCCCTTTCCCTCACACCAACTCGTTCACTTTCGTCGGCAGCAACCTTTCCTCGCACAGCTCACCTGCTTCCTGCTTCCTCCCCTCCACTACATTTCCCCTCCACGATTGATCTCGCGGGTTCAGCCCAACTCCGCTCTGCACGGCACACAACAGCACTCACTCACCAGCACACTAATCCATGGATCGGACCGCGCTGCGGGAAATTAGCTCACGATTGCTGCATACGCCGTCTCCCACGCCGTTTTTTCTTCTTGTTCGTATAAAGTATTTGTGTATGGCTATTTCATCTGCATCAAACAGTGATACTTTGCTGGCTCTAATCGCAAACCCTTCAGGCTTCACAACTATTAGGCCCTTTACCGCATACATTTCGTACGTTCCTGTTCCACGGAAATTATCTACCACTGGAAGCATTCTGAGCGCCGAGCATCCTGAAACAAGCCGTACCGTCTCTCTCGAATCGTTTTAAACGTTTGTGTTTGCAACTATGGCGAGCATGCACTCAGGCGCTTATCCCGGCCATTATCCCGCTGCGCCTCAAGCGGGAGCGTCTTATTACCAGCAGCCGGCTCACGGTGCTGCTCCTCCGCCTCCTTACGTAGCGCCTCAAGCACAAGTTCTGTCACAACCGTATGCGGTCGTGGGGTCGCAGTACTGCTTACCGTACGAGACTGTGCTTGTAATGAAGGAGAAGATGTTCTCGTTAAGCGAAGCGAAGAAGGTCCAAGATACAAACGGGAATCTGCACTTCAAAGTCGCAAACAGGTGAGGCCTCAATCTATTTCACGGACCCTTTTTTAATTTAGGAGTCCTTAATGTCATTGTAAACAGGTCTTTCCATCAGGCTTTTCGCGTGAAGCTTTTCCTCTTTCCTGAATTTGCTTGCCTCTGCCACTGTTTAATATCAGTTTTTACTAGACTAGCTATTCATTTTCTTTAACTTTTTCCCATCTTCACCGATTGGATTGTCCCGAACCAGACTGCTATCCATTCCCAACAAGACGGAAATTCAGGACGCCAGAGGAGCACCGGTGTGCATGCTAGTAGGCAAGGTGTTAACTCTGCACAACACCACCTACCTCTGCCCGGGGAGCAGCACAGAAACCGAGGGTCACTTGCTTAGAGCAAGGAGGCCTTACATCACCTTTCAACCCGTTATTGAGGTGCGCTTGCTGCTACAGGGTCCCAAATATCGATCTGCCGTTTTCTCTTTCCCAGTTTTATTTGTTACCTTCTCTTTCCTATTTTCTCTTCCTATCACTCCGTCTCTCCATTCTCCATTTCTTCGGTGCCTTCTGACCAGTCTATTCTCCAAATAAAGTTTTTCTCATTAACCTCATTCAACCTCTTGCGTCTTTCCTCTCCCTGCTTGTAGGTGTTTTTACGGGGCAATGTAACAAAGAACCCAGACATTTACCTTACTGGCTCCATTTTCCAGCATAACTTCAAGGTACTAGTATTCTCTCAGCTTCTCACCTTTTTCCCAGAACCCCCGCCTTGGGACATCTCTTTTTCCCATTTTCGAGTGTGACAGATTGAACTGCTGCATCTGTTTGTATAAGTTTCTTATTCAATGCTTGCTGTATCCACTTCCCCCCCCCCCCCCCCCCCCGCCATCCTTATGACAGATCGTCACCTGCAACAACATGCTATTGGCCGAAGTGAACCGTGACATGTGCACTGCACGCGACCTTGTCTTCGGTGCCCAAACATACTTCGTGCGAATCTTGCCGAATGTGGACATGGCGTTAGTTCTGGCTCTGGTTACTCTTGCAGACACCATGTATGTTAATAGAGAAGGGTCTCGCATTCCAAGCATTGAGTTAGTTTGAATATGGTACCGTACGTGAAACTTTTGTGTCTGATTCAGTTTATACGTGCATGCGAGTGTGTGCGCGTGAGTGTACGTGCGTGTGCGTGTGCGTGCGCAAGTGTGCGCGTGCGTGTGCGTGTGTGTATCAAATAGATGCGTTGCATTTGATTATCTCGTGTCCTGAAGGCTATGGGATGACCCTGACAAGCCAAGCTGTACTGTGGATATCATTTTCTCATAACAGGAGGAGATCACTCTGAAATAAAGAAGCATACGCCGCAAAAACATCCAAATCAGAACCAAAGGGTCACCAATTGGGTCAGCATTGGAGTTATCACTTGGGAAACTCCACAATGCTAGTGCACCCTAATGAAATGACGTACTGGTAGTCACGAAGAGCAAAAGTGTCCCTGGTTAAGAATAACGAGGGCGGAGGGGGAGGACGGGGGGGAAGGGGGGGGGGGGGGGGGTGGGGAGAGGGGAAGGGGGAGGGAGGGGGGGGAGAGAGAGAGAATAAGATTCTAGAAAATGTAATGTTACTGATGACTGGTGCAAAAAGGGAAGTGAAAAGTGTTGAAGTATATTTGCATATCCTGTTATAACTGCCTACAGCTTGCTAGTGTATTAGTTAGATATTAGGTTCAACTGCTGGTGGTGTACCCTTTTCCCCTTCCTCTCCTTCCTATTTGTACTCACAACTTCATAATGAAAGCCCTCTTTTGGCCAAACTTCTCCCTCCATGATTCTCTTTGCTAAACCTCTCCTAAACCTAAGTACTGCATAATCTCCTAATCTTAACATGGTATCAGAGCGGGTTCCTGCCTAGGACCCGATCCTAATGGGCCCACCACTTGCCTACATGGCTAGCACTGTCGCCCCTTTGCCGTGCAGTTGCAGCCCGCCCGTAGCCCCACCCAGCAGCAGCGACCAGGGCAGCGACCAGCGCCAGCGACCAGCGCCAACGCGAGCGCCAGCGCCAGCCCCTACGACGGTCGCCAGCGCCAGCGCCAGCCCCTACGACGGTCGCCAGCACCAGCGCCAGCCCCTACGACGGTCGCCAGCACCAGCGCCAGCCCCTACGACGGTCGCCAGCGCCAGCGCCAGCCCCGGCGACGGTCGCCAGCGCGCCCCACGCCACCAATTCGCGACCAGGCGCAGCAGCGCGCGCTGCACCACCTCCCTGCCGCGGCTTCACCGTGGGGGGGGGGGGAGGGGGGATTAGGGTGTGGCGGGAGTTACTATGCAGCAACAGCCCGCGGCCCTTCTCTTCCCTCTCTCTCGCGCCCGTGTTTACGGTCGTGAGGGGGGGGGGGATGAGGGGGTGGCGGGGATGACCAGCAAACCGCCACATCTGCACTCCTCTCCTCACTCCAGCAGCCGCCTCTCCATCTCCTCCTCCTCACTCCTCCCTCCAGCCGCATCTCCTCCTCCTCTCTCCTCTCCTCCAGCCGCATATCCTCCTCTCTCCTCTCCTCCAGCCGCATCTCCTCCTCCTCTCCTCTCCTCCAGCCGCATCTCCTCCTCCTATCTCCTCTCCTCCAACCGCCTCTCCTCTGCTCTCCTCCTGTGCACCACCACCAGCTTCCTCCTCCTCACCAACAGTTGTGTTTGCTCGTAGATGGCGAGCGACCAGCATCCTTCGCCCTCCGGCTATCCCAGCCCTCCTCCGCGCTCTCCGCGCCCTCCTCCGTTCTGGCGTTCACAGGTGCTGCCGGTCAGCCACCGCTGTTTCTGTGCCTATCCCAGCTACAGCAACCGCTCTCCAGGCGACCTGGTGCTAGACACCACTAGCTATAGCCGTAGGTAGTTACGGGGGTGTGTTGAAGTATATTTGCATATCCTGTTATAACTGCCTACAGCTTGCTAGTGTATTAGTTAGATATTAGGTTCAACTGCTGGTGGTGTACCCTTTTCCCCTTCCTCTCCTTCCTATTTGTACTCACAACTTCTTAATGAAAGCCCTCTTTTGGCCAAACTTCTCCCTCCATGATTCTCTTTGCTAAACCTCTCCTAAACCTAAGTACTGCATAATCTCCTAATCTTAACAAAAAGGCTCCGTGCGGGCGGCCAGGGTGGAAAGGTACCGTATGATAACTCACGGGAAGCATCGCGCCATAAGCGACGGAGGAGTTGTCTTTGAGTCGTAGTACGCGTATGGAGATTCACAGTTAGGCTTTGAGTATATGTTGACAGCTGGGCAGTTCTGAACAGCGCCCACATTATGAACCATGCACATTATAGTGGCCTTTCCAGCGAGTGCGTCTGGGATTTGGGTGCAGCCCGTGATGTTGAGGCGGAAGGTGTAGGGTCGAAAAGCCCCTGTTTGATTCGAGAACAGGGTGACACTGGAGGAGGAGACTGTTGACGGTCCACCTGCGAAAGAGTGGCACAAAAAAGGTATTTTGAGATGTTCTCAAAAGGCTTCTTTTATCGGGGTGACGCTTGATGAGGAGACTGTTGGAAGGTCCACCTGCGAAAAAGTGGCACAAGAAAGTATGTTGAGACGTTCTCAGAATGCTTCTTTTATCGGGGTGACACTGGAGGAAGAGACTGCTGAAGGTCCACCTGCAAAAGAGTGGCACAAAAAAGTATGCAAGGGTAGTGTTTGCTTGCACCTCCTTGCATACATACACGCATGCTTTCCCACTTCATACAATGCATTCCTGCATCTTAAACCAGCATCATTTGTTCAACCAACTAGGCAGAGTAATGAATCGGAAGGTGGCGCAAAGAGTGGGGTGAGTGGGGGAAGGGGAGAGTGGGACACTTGCGAAGAGTGGAAAGTAGGGCGAGTGGGAGGGAAGTGTGGGATTGGGGGGCGAACAGGGAGAGGAGAGAATGTGCAGATCAGAGCGACAATTGAAGCGCCTCAAAATGTGTCATCCCATGGCCTTACACAGCACGCGCAGTAAGACGCGGGCAATGCATGAGACTTTTGCAGCGCCTTAAAACTCACCCTTAACACAACTGGTCGGAGTCATCCCATGGCCGTCAGGGCACTCGCAGTAAGGCACCGGCAATGGATGAGAGTGTTGCGGCGCCTTACAACTCACCCCAAAACTCACCCTTAACGCAACTGGTCGGAGTCATCTCATAGCATTGCGGGCACTCGCAGTAAGGCACCGGCAATGCATGAGAGTGTTGCGGCGCCTTACAACTCACCCCAAAACTCACAACACAGCTGGTCGGGGTCATCCCGTAGCCTTCCGGGCACGCGCAGTAAGGCACCTGCAAATGCATGAGAATGTTGCGGCGCCTTACAACTCACCCCAAAACTCACCCTTAACACAACCGGTCGGAGTCATCCCGTAGCCGTCAGGGCACGCGCAGTAAGGCACCTGCAACCCACTGTTGTCAGTTGCAGGCATGGCCTTGCAGGTGGCTCCAGTGGGACAGGCGCCACAAGGTGAGTCTGAGGGGTGGGGTGGAGAGATGGGTGCAGTGCAGTATGATTACTGAGGCGCCTAAAATAAGCAGTAAGGCACCTGGAACCCACTGTTGTCTGTTGCAGGCATCGTCTTGCAGGTGGCTCCAGTGGGACAGGCGCCACAGAGTGAGTCTGAGGGTTTTGAATGGGTGCAGTATGGTATGTGAGGGCACGCACGGTAAGGCAAGAGATGGGAACGGCAACGCCTATAGACGTCAGGGAACAGGAATGGCGTAGGCATTGTGTGCATGACAGTGTTTTGGGTCGACTCAGACAAGAGATGGGAACGCCTATAGACGTCAGGGTACATGAATGCCGTAGGCAGTGTGTGCCTGACAGAGACAGAGGCAAGAGGGCGCTGCGGTGGACTAAGATACACCATAGGGAAATCGCCCTTCAGAGGAAGGCAGATGATGAAGTGATGTTTTGAGCTGCCTCAAACCAGTGTGTGCATGACAGAGACAGAGGCAAGAGGCATGGTTAGTGGACTGAGATACGCCACGAGGCAAGAAATGAGAACGCCGCATGGCAGAGGCGGGGGCAAGAAGGCGTTGCGGTGGACTGAGATACGCCACGAGGCAAGAAATGAGAACGCCGCATGGCAGAGACAGAGGCAAGAGGCATGGTCAGTGGACTGAGATACCCCACGAGGGAAATCGCCCTTCAGAGGAAGTCAGAGAGACTCACGCCCTTCACGATCACGCCCTTCACAATCACGCCCTTCACAATCACGCCCTTCACAATCACCTCTTCTGAGCCTACCACTGGTGCTGTCGATGGTGCTTCCAGTGCTGTCAGTGCTGCCAGTGGTGGTGCCGGTGCTGTCAGCAGGGGTGTCAGCAGGGGTGTCAGCAGGGGTGTCAGCAGGGGTGTCAGCAGGGGTGCTGCCTGTGCTGGTGGTCTCTAGCGCAATCCGCGCATTGCCCTTCCTGCTCGCTATCTCCGCCTCTGCGCCTTCCCCATACGCGCCTTTCAGCATGATTCGCAGCAGGCTACGGTGTGTCATGCTTCTCACCGTGTCGTCACCATGCGCTGATTGGATCATCTGAGCTGCTGCAGAGGACAAGGGAGAGGATGTGCAGTGAGAAGAACAGAGAAAAGCTATGAGAGGACAGATATGAGAGAGCAGAGAGGGGAATCGAGCTGAAGAGGTGGAAAACGAAGCGAGCAGGAAGGAGGGAGCAGGGGGGACGGCATGAAACCAATTCAAGGCTTACGAATCAAGTCAAGGGCTGACCACAAGCCAAAGATACTGCAGCAATGAGAGCAGCGGACTGACCGCAAATGAGCGCAAAGGCGAGCAGCAGGAGTCCAGCAGGAGAGGCGCGCATCGACCCCATGATGATGACGTGGGATTCGCGGCGTGGGAGAGGCAGGCGGAAGGTTGGCGGAAGAGGCGCGAGAAGCGCAAAAGATGGGCAACAGTGGCGCAAAAGAGGCGGAACAGAGGCGCAGCAGACGCGCAGTGTGCTGTGCGAGTCACGGGTGGACTCCAGCAGCTTTTTGGAAGAATACCCCGTTTTCGGATACTCGAGCCCAAAACCTTTTGCGCTTCGGAAGAATAACAGCTTGCAAGTTCCAAGTTGGGAATTGGACTGTCACAGTGCATGGACAGCACCGTGCTGATCTGGTGTTTACTATATACCGTGAGTGACGAGCGCGATTCGGCATGACAGCCCCCGCGGCGCTATCGTCATCGTGATGATTATTGGTACTAAAGATACCTTGCGCCACCTATAATGCAGTGTTTGGCTCCTGCGAGTCTACTTTTGAGGCGCCTCAAAAGTGCCACCGTCACGGTGACGATTGCGCCAAATATAATGCAAGGACGATTATAGGAGCCGCGATATGCGCTGGTATGGCTTCGCTTGGGTGATCGCTCGAATGCAAAGACGAACTCGCTCTGGATTTTGAGAACGCGATGCGTGTGACGACAGCGATTGGCGGAGAGTTTATAACGAATCGCATATGCAAAGTCAGGTTGTGCGTGACTCGAGTGAATCGCATCAACGGAATCATTGGAAAGGAAAACGCAGGGCATTGTGGTTCACGAATCACGAGTCACGACTAATAATGGGATACAGTAACACGTTGTCAGAACACGCTCTTAACTCTTGACTTAGTAACTTAGGGTTTACCTAGGAAGCGTGAGTGTCGAGAGTGAGCATGGCAAGAGAATTGGGCAAAGAGGGGATTCACTAAGGAATGTTTACAAGATATAGGATAGGGGAGAGGATAGGGTACACCACCAGCAGTTGAACCTAATAACTAACTAATACACTAGCAAGCTGTAGGCAGTTAGGATATGCAATATAATTCAACACACGTGCCCTTTCCTGTTCGTCGCTTCTTCCCTAGAGACTTCCAGTCAGGCTCGGCAGTGGGAATGTGCGACTATGCGAAATTCTCACGAGACCAGCAGCTGCATTATATGGCCTACATAGTAGTCGCAGACAGAAGCGAAGGATTTCTGCTTTCTGTTGGTGGGCCTACATAGTAAACTATCAGAAACAAGATTCGACGTTAACGTCGGAAGGGTTGCGTAGACATGAACTGCTAAGACATGAACTGCTTGATATTATACTTATGGTATATAGAGAAAGCAACGAACTATGTTTTTTTATAACATGCTTGTAAGTTCTTTATTTCGTTACTGCTCATGGTAATTATTTACTACCATTGATTGTAGTTAATGGCAGAAGATTTAAAGACCTATAAGTATATTTGTTTTCCTAAGCAATATTGTTTTCTAGTGAGTTTGTGTATTTGCAGCCAAATCTTGTGTGTCACAAACAACTAAAAATAATCATCTACAAATTTCTTGATTTTGGGGAGTATAAGGAACTGGTGTATTTCGATTGTGGAAACTGGTTCGTGCCTCGTTGGCAGAAAATTTTCTTGCCAGCGCTACACAAACCCAACCAAACCTTTCCCCACTGTCAACTCTACTCCCTTGGGAGTCCCGTTTCTTGAATTCAAGCACCTGCTCGACTCTGATCTCCCCTTGTTCTTCCCACCCCAAATACCTTCCCACTCGTTTTTTTAGAACCACCTTGCCGTCACCTCTCCCTCACTCCCGGCCGTCGCCTCACCTCACCCCCCACCGTCGCCTCTCCCTAACTCCCCGCCGTCGCTCTCCCTTCCTCCTCGTCGTCGCCTCTCCCTCCCTTCCCGCCGTCGCCTTTGGTGGGTTGCTGCACGACCACGCGTTGTTTTCTTAGGCACTGTTGTCTCAGGTGCGTTTGCTACTCTCTCCGAAATGTCCTATTTTTTCCACTTTCCTCGTAAGTTCTCAATGCCGATTGGTCTCCTCTTAGTATTGTGCCTCCATTTTAAGAAGGGGAGAGAGGGAGTGTGAGGGAGTGTGTGCGCACGGGAGCGAGCACGCAGGCGCATAGCGCGCTGGCGCCTAACGGGCTGGCGCCAAACGCGCTGGCGCCTAGCGCGCTGGCGCATAACGCGCAGGCGCCTAGAGCGCGCCTAGCGCGCTGCCGCCTAGCGCGTTGGCGCATAGCGCGCTGGTTCCTAGCGCGCTGGCGCCTAATGCGCAAGCGCCTAGAGTGCTGGCGCCTAACGCGCTGGCGCCTAACGCGCTGGCGCCAAACGCGCTGGCGCCTAGCGCGCTGGCGCCTAATGCGCAGGCGCCTAGAGCGCTGGCGCCTAACGCGCTAGCGCCTAGCGCGCTGGCGCTTGCTGCGCTGGCGCCTAACGCGCTGGCGCCAAACGCGCTGGCGCCTAGCGCGCTGGCGCATAGCGCGCCGGCGCCAAGCGCGCTGGCGCCTTACGCGCTGGCGCCTTACGCGCTGGCGCCTTACGCGCTGGCGCCTTACGTTTGGCGCCTTGCAGGTGCCCTCGCAGCGCGCTGGCACCTTGTAGCATGCTGGCGGCTTGTGCGCTGCTGCCTTGTTTGCGGCGCTGGCAAATTGCTGCGGCAGCCTTGTTGCGGCAGCGCGCTGGTAAATTTGTGCACACGCTCACGCGTTGCTGCAGTGAGCTCACGCGTTGCTGCAGTGAGCTCACGCCTTGCTGCAGTGAGCTCACGCGTTGCTGCAGTGAGCTCACGTGTTGCTGCAGTGAGCTCACGCCTTGCTGCAGTGAGCTCACGCCTTGCTGCAGTGAGCTCACGCGTTGCTGCAGTGAGCTCACGCCTTGCTGCAGTGAGCTCACGCCTTGCTGCAGTGAGCTCACGCCTTGCTGCAGTGAGCTCACGCCTTGCTGCAGTGAGCTCACGCCTTGCTGCAGTGAGCTCACGCCTTGCTGCAGTGAGCTCACGCCTTGCTGCAGTGAGCTCACGCCTTGCTGCAGTGAGCTCACGCCTTGCTGCAGTGAGCTCACGCCTTGCTGCAGTGAGCTCACTCCTTGCTGCAGTGAGCTCACGCCTTGCTGCAGTGAGCTCACGCCTTGCTGCAGTGAGCTCACGCCTTGCTGCAGTGAGCTCACGCCTTGCTGCAGTGCGCTCACGCCTTGCTGCAGTGAGCTCACGCCTTGCTGCAGTGAGCTCACGCCTTGCTGCAGTGAGCTCACGCCTTGCTGCAGTGAGCTCACGCCTTGCTGCACTGAGCTCACGCCTTGCTGCAGTGAGCTCACGCCTTGCTGCAGTGAGCTCACGCCTTGCTGCAGTGAGCTCACGCCTTGCTGCAGTGAGCTCACTCCTTGCTGCAGTGAGCTCACGCCTTGCTGCAGTGAGCTCACGCCTTGCTGCAGTGAGCTCACGCCTTGCTGCAGTGAGCTCACGCCTTGCTGCAGTGCGCTCACGCCTTGCTGCAGTGAGCTCACGCCTTGCTGCAGTGAGCTCACGCCTTGCTGCAGTGAGCTCACGCCTTGCTGCAGTGAGCTCACGCCTTGCTGCACTGAGCTCACGCCTTGCTGCAGTGAGCTCACGCCTTGCTGCAGTGAGCTCACGCCTTGCTGCAGTGAGCTCACGCCTTGCTGCACTGAGCTCACGCCTTGCTGCAGTGAGCTCACGCCTTGCTGCAGTGAGCTCACGCCTTGCTGCAGTGAGCTCACGCCTTGCTGCAGTGAGCTCACGCCTTGCTGCAGTGAGCTCACGCCTTGCTGCAGTGAGCTCACGCCTTGCTGCAGTGAGCTCACGCCTTGCTGCAGTGCGCTCACGCCTTGCTGCAGTGAGCTCACGCCTTGCTGCAGTGAGCTCACGCCTTGCTGCAGTGAGCTCACGCCTTGCTGCACTGAGCTCACGCCTTGCTGCAGTGAGCTCACGCCTTGCTGCAGTGAGCTCACGCCTTGCTGCAGTGCGCTCACGCCTTGCTGCAGTGAGCTCACGCCTTGCTGCAGTGAGCTCACGCCTTGCTGCAGTGAGCTCACGCCTTGCTGCAGTGAGCTCACGCCTTGCTGCAGTGAGCTCACGCCTTGCTGCAGTGAGGTCACGCCTTGCTGCAGTGAGCTCACGCCTTGCTGCACTGAGCTCACGCCTTGCTGCACTGAGCTCACGCCTTGCTGCACTGAGCTCACGCCTTGCTGCAGTGAGCTCACGCCTTGCTGCAGTGAGCTCACGCCTTGCTGCAGTGAGCTCACGCCTTGCTGCAGTGAGCTCACGCCTTGCTGCAGTGAGCTCACGCCTTGTTACGGCAGCCCGCTTGCTCCTCTGCCAGTGCCTTGCTGCAACTCTCTGGCACCTTGTAGCATGGCGATGCCCAGCTCGTTGCACCAAGGCACCTTGCTCACTGGAGCCTTGCTGCACACCAGCGTGGTGTGCGTGACCCCAGGGGATCTATGCTTCAAACCACGCTTGTGAGTCGTCGAATTCGGTTTTCTTTTGTACTTATCATATTTTCTTTCAAGTTCCATTTCACAATCAAGTGCGTGTTCGTCATTGAATAGTTCACTCCGTTTTCCGACTACAATTCTTTTTCTTCTTGACCTGTTTGTTTTGCAAGGTGTGCGAGACGCGTTGTGGGGAGCAGGGAGGGATCGAGAGAGAAGACAATGTGGAAAAGGGTGGGAGGAGATTTCGATGGTTGAGGGAGAGGAAGGAAGGCAGGAAGGGGGAGTAAGGGGGGGGCAAGGTAGCAGTGATTGATACATAATTAACCTTTTGCAACTCTTTGTTATGCTTGTCTGCTCTCAATCCTATTTGTGTATGTATGTCTTAAGATAGGCTACGAGACAAGTGTCGAGAGTAATGTTTGAGTAAGGAGGGACAAGGAGATACAAATGTCGACCTAAAGTGTTGTACCCTTTAGAGGGCAACTCACAGTAGCCTATCTAACAATATATAGAATATATAAACATTTGACACACCCCCATAGGCTAAGTGAGGGGCATCAAAACAACCAACGGAAACAAGGGGTCACAAGACCAGTCAAGAACAAGCATAAAAAACAAAGCTCAGGGTGGCGCTCAGAGTCACCACACACTCCGAGCACAAGCAAGTGGCCACAAGGCCAGTTCAAGAGTTTACTTGTATATATAGAAGCACAACAAGTAGAGCAAACAGCAAGTCTACAGCAACCGAGGGCCTACCTCAACAAGCCCCAACTGCACACAGAACCTGTGGTGGTCACCAGGCGCCAAGGCCTTGGTGAAGACGTCGGCAGTGTTGGCCTGTGAGGCCACAAAGTCCAAACGTGCCTGACCGCGTCGCTGCAACTCTCGCAGGAGGAAGTACCTCACGTCAATATGCTTCACTCTGCTCTCCAGTCGAGGCTCTCGACACAGGAGGATCATGGCCTTGTTGTCAGCGTACAAGGTCGGTGCAGAGCGAGGCCGCTCACCAAGGTCGGCGAGCAAGAAGGTCAACCAGCGAAGCTCCTGTGCCGCCATGGCACCAGCGTAGATCTCTGCCTCTGCACTGGAAGTAGCCACAGACGACGACCGTGTAGACCTCCACGACACAGCACCAGCTCCCAGACTGAAGCAGTAACCCTGAGTCGAACGCTGAGTCTCCACGTCGTCAGCGTAGGAAGAGTCGCAGTGACCAGTCAACGCCACTGGCTGAGTCCCTCCAAGCACAAGCCCCATGCCTGATGTAGTCGCCAGGTACTTCGCCACCCTCACAGCAGCTGTCCAGTGGACAGGGCGGTGTCTCCCAGTCGCAACAAAGCGAGAAAGGATGCTGAGTGGAAAGGCGAGGTCCGGTCGAGTACAAGTCATCAGGTACATGAGGCAGCCCACCAGCTCTGCGTAGGGTCCACTGGACTCAAAGGGCTCGTCAGGAAAGGGGCCCGTGAGTCTGTGGTCAACAGCAAGAGGAGTGGGCTGTGTGGTGGAGAACTGGAAGTCGAACCGCCGAAGGATCTGCTGCACCATGTGTGACTGCGTCAGTGTGATGGTGCGAGCGGCTCTGTCTCGGGTGATCTGCAGGCCAAGGTAGCGCTGCAGCTCACCCAGGTCAGTGCACTTGTGTCTCTTCTGCAGTTCGGACTTCACCTGAGCCAGGGCTGCCCTGTCTGCTGTAGCAAACACCAAGTCGTCGACATAGACAAGGATAAAGAAAGGAGTAGAACCCGCTCGAACAAACAGCGACGGGTCGGCGGAGGACGGGCTGAACCCAAGGTCACGAAGCGTGGAGCGAAGAGTGTCGTGCCACTCACGGGGCGACTGGCGGAGACCGTAGACTGGTCGCCTCAGGCTCCACTGGGTCCCAGGTGGGAAGGTGTCAGTGAAGCCAGGAGGACGGCGCAGCCAGATCTCCTCGTGTAGTCGGCCCTGGAGGAACGCAGTGGAGAAGTCGAGGGAGTGCAGCTCGTAGTCTCGCTGCGCTGCTATGTGGAGTAACACCCGAAGAGTAGTCATCTTCGGGGTCGGGGCGAAGGTCTGGAAGAAGTCAACTCCCTCACGCTGACTGAAGCCCCTAGCCACGTAGCGCGCCTTGAACACCGGCGGTGCTCCAGGCGGCCGCTTCACCTTGAAGAGCCACATGCCATCGACTACGTTCGCCCTGGGAGGGGGAACTGCGTCGACGTAGGTGCCTGTGGATCTCCAAGACGCCAACTCTGAGTCCATAGCCGCTTTCCACTGAGAGGCCCACGCCCCTGACACTGCCTCGCGGTAAGTGCGAGGAGTCGGTATGTCAAGGGCGTCGGGGTCTCCCTCAGGGGAGAGCAGCATGGCACACACAGAGGGAGAAGCGGCTGCCCAGTACTCCAGCTCAGACTCTCTGTCCTCTAGGACGTCACAGCCAAGGGCAAACCCACCCCCGACGGACAGAGGACGGTAGGGAGGAGCTGGCACCACACGGGTGGCGTAGTCAAGGTGGCTGGCGGCAGCAAACTCAGCGACAGCGGCAGTAAGAGCCGAGGCAGACGACGGAGGGAAACGAGAGTCGGTGACAAGAGTGGCGAGGACACGTGCGGAAACAGGACGAACAACGCGATAGTAGTCAGAGATAGGAGTGGGGAGGGCTGGTAGGGAGGACGGAGGAGGAGACGGGAGAACGGACACAGGAGAAGGAGAACGACGACGAGACGAACAAAGGAGGGCAGTGTGGAGGACAGTAACAGGGGACGAGTGACGAGCACGCGGAGGACAACGAGTGATCAGGTCGCGACGGACAGAGGGAGGAGGAGAAGACCAGACCGCCGGACGGTCGTCAGGAGGAGGCAACGGAGGAACAAACACAGGAGGAGACTGGGAGCGGACAGGAGGAGAGGAGGAAAGGCCAAGGGCCCGCAGGCCACTCACAGGTGGGAACAACCGCCGCTCCAGAGGAAGCTGCAGTGGCGGCTGCGGCCGCTGCTGCTGCGGCTGCGGCTGCTGCTGCTGCGGCTGCGGCGGCGGCTGCGGCTGCTGCTGCTGCTGCTGCTGCTGCTGCTGCCGCTGCTGCTCCAGAAGGTCCAGCACCCGCAGCTCCTGCCGCTCCCTCTCCAACCGCTCCTGCTCCTCACGCTCACGCCGACGGGCAGCCTGGAGACGCGTGTCGTGGCGGTGGGGAGGCGGAGTGGACTCCGCAGAACCAGGGTCTCCAGCGTCAGTCCCCTCAGACTCAGCACCCCCAGAACCAGCACCGCCAGTGCCAGGACCTCCAACTCCAGCACCCCCAGAACTAGCACCGCCAGTGCCAGCACCCCCAACTCCAGCACCCCCAGAACCAGCACCTCCAGTGCCGGCACCTCCTGCTCCAGCACCCCCAGAGCTAGCGCCACCTGCGCCAGCACCTCCAGCTCCAGCACCCCCAGAGCTAGCGTCACGTGCGCCAGCACCTCCAGCTCCAGTACCCCGCGACCGAGCACCCCCAGACCGAGCACCGCCAGCGGCTGCACCTCCAGCTCCAACACCAACCGAGTCCAAAGTAACCTGTCGCGGAAGTGCCGAAGGCTGCTGAGGGGACTGTGAGGAGGACTGCGGGGAGGGAGACGCTACCTGACGCGCGACCGAGGGTAGAGGGGTAGCGTGGGACACACCAGACGGGGCAGGACCTGGGGGGGGCGGGGGTACCGGAGGAGCGGGAGCAGGAGGAGGAGAGGGTGCGAGGAAGAGAGGGGGAGGGGGTACCGGGAGACCTCGACAGGGGTACCGGGTGTAGTAGGACACGGACTCGTCAAACCGGACGTCACGGGAGTCTAGGAACTGGTGGAGGGGAGGGTGGTAAAAGGACCAGTCAGCAGAGTCCACTGGGAAACCAAGGAAGACACATGGGACGGCGCGTGCCGAGAGCTTGTCCGCGGAGGTGTCGCGAACAAGTGCAAGGCAGCCCCAGACTCGAAAGGCCGACCCAACACCAGGGGATCCAGTCCAAAGACTGGTCGGTGAAGCCTCGGGCCGCGAGACACGCGGCTGGAGGTTCAGCTGGTGTGCGGCGTAGCGAACCGCGTGGGGCCACAGAAAATGGGGCGCACGGGCATGAATCATGGACGTGCGGGCGATGTCCATGACCAAGCCTATGCGGCGCTCAGCAACCCCATTCTGCTGTGGGGACTCTGGCAGCGTCCAGGACTGGGTGATGCCCTGTTCGCCGCAGAATCCGCCGAGAATGCCGGAGCGAAACTCGCCCCCACGGTCGGAGTGAAGACAACTGACTCGACGACCACGAGTGCCCTCAGTGGCTAGAAGCCACCTGATCAGCGTAGCAGTCACCTCGGACTTCTTCGCAAGAGGGAACACTGTGGTGTACCTGGAGAAGTCGTCGACGACCACCAGAAAGTAACGCTCCCTCCCAGACCCCTGCGTCGGGGCAGGGCCCCAGACGTCCAAGTGGAGAGTCTCGAAGGGAGCGGTGGCCGGACGAAGGGAGGAGGAGTGGGGAGTGGCGCGTAAGCGACCGGCGACGCACGGAGAGCAAGGAGGGGCAAGCGAGAGAGGGAGCGACGGGAAGGTGCGTGGGAGACCTGTGACTAGTCCCTGACTGAGCATGCCACGAAGGCGAGGGATCGACGGGTGGCCAAGACGGTGGTGCCAAAGGACGGTGCGGTGGGCGAGAGAGCGACAGGAGCAAGACGCAGCGACTGGACTGCACACAGCGACCGGACTGGACACGACTACCTGGCTAGACACAGCAACTGGACTGGGGACCTGAGCCGGAGGGGACGCAACAACCTGAGGGGAGGACGCGACCGGGGAGCGCTCGGTGTGGAGAACGTAGAGACCGGAGCGGGGCTCCCTGGTGAACGTGGCCAGAACAGCACCTGTGGTAGCGTCAGTACAGACTGCAGTCCGCCCCCCCCCCACAAAGGTAACGGTGATCCCCCTGTCCTGGAGGTATCCAACACCCACCAAGTTCCGAGTGAACGAGGGGATGTGGAGGCCGCGCAAGACACCAGAGGGGACCACAGGGCACGGGAGGGTGGTGGAGCTGCGCGCAACGGCTGGTCCTGAAGAAGGATCAGCCAAAGCTACCGGAACCGGAGCAAGAAGTGGTGTGAGGGTCGTGTGGTCGCGGAAGAAACACTGCGACGCGCCAGAGTCCAGCGTGAACGACAGAGACGCCTCAGCCGGAGGCGTGTCAGGTCCGGAGGCTACACAAGCACCTAGAGCAGAAACACAAGCACCTAGACTAGAGAGGCACAGGTCTACACTAACAGGAGGCAAGCATCCTAGACTACGAACACGCGAGCACACAAATCCATCAGCACTATAGTCAACATCAGCATACAAAGCATACTGACGAGCATCGTCCATAGACAGTTCAAATACAGGAATCTTACGGGCTAGCAGGCGAGCCCAGCGCGGGGTGGTCGCCTCAGGACCCCAGCGTGCACGGTAGAGGTCGTCGAGGCGGCGGAAGCACCGCGCTGCAGAGTGGTCGTCGCGGCCGCAGACACAGGGACTGCCAGGTCCGGTGACGCACCAGTGGTCGCAGGGGCCGGTGTCGCGCCGCGGGGGGCGAGGGGCCCAGCTGGTAGTGCTGCTGCTGCGGCCAGTGCTCCCGGGTCCTCCAGGTCCCCACTGTGGCGGAGGGCCCCAGTGCTGCTGCGGACCCCACTGCAGTGGGGGTCCCCACGTCTGAAACTGCTGTGGTGCCTGCCACTGCTGCTGTCCCTGGTGCAGCTGCTGTCTCTGCTGTGGCTGCTGCTGCTGTGGCTGCTGCTGCTGGGGCCCCGCACCACCGCTGGTCGAACCTCCTCCAGCAGGTGGGTCAGCACCTTCTCCAGAGCTCCCTCCGCCTGGGGCAACACCGCCACCACTGCCGCCCCCAGGGCCGCCTCCACCACCGCCACCTCCTCCACCGCCGCCACCCCCCTTCCCCCCTTTCTTGCCCCCCTTGCCCCGTTTCTGCCTGTCAGCGGCAGAAACAGCTGCAGTGTCCTCAGAAACCGACACAGCAGCAGAGGCACGTGTAGCAGTGAAGGTAGGAAGCTGGGGGACAGCACACCCCTCAAACAAACGAGGGGCAACTGCGTCAGTGGCTGAGGCAACAGAGAGGAGGTTAATCTCGATCTTCCCGAGAGTGGTCTCGAGAAGATCAATCGTAAGCTCACTGGGGTGATGCTGGAGAAGTGCGTCACGGGCAGTGGAGAGGCGGTCAGGGAGACGAGTGACTACCCAGTGGACTGTGAGCCAAATAGGAGGAGGAGCAACAAGAAGCTGAGCCTAAGTGCAAGCTGCTCGGTAGCTAGCGACAAGGGAGCGCAAGTGTGTGGCTAGGTCAGAGACACTCGCAAAAGAGCCGAGGTCGGGAAACACGAACGGCATGAGGATGCGGCTGAGGGAGGCAGAGGAAGGGGTGGAATAGCGTGCAGAAATAGCATCATACACCTCCTTCGCAGTCTCTACCAGGTCGAAGTGAGCGGCCTCAGTCGGTGGAAGGAGCTCGGTCAGCGCGAGTGCAGCCGCAGCGTCACGGGAGTCCCAAACGTCCCGCGCCAAGACGAGACGAGCGTAGTCCGCCTGTGCCTCCGGAGTCGGGGGGGGCACGGCAGGGAGGGGCTCGGGACGCGGTGGTGCCTGGAGGGCGCCGGACGCGTGGGCGTACAGGGTGGCGCCGTCCTGGCGCTGACTGGTGAGATAGCGCTGAGTCTGGCGGAGCCAGGTGCCGAACTCTATCGGGCGCCCCTCTGCATCGAAACGAAGGCGGCGGGAGGAGTCCATATTGGACGCTAGGCTAGGAACAGCTGGAGCACGGAGCAAACGGAGCTAGGAGCGAGGAGCGCCAGGTGGGACTAGGCGAGGTACTGCTGGAGCACGGAGGAAAACTGAGCTAGGAACGCCAGTCTAGTAACGAACGGAGCTGGGAGTTAGCTGACCTAGGAGCACACGGCTGGAGGAGGCAGGGCTGACGAGCCGATCGAGGAGCCAGAGGGTCGTTCGAGGGGCTGGCGGAGCGAGGAGAGACCTAGCTAACAACGAACGTCAGGACTAGCCTAAACAGCTAAGCGGAGCGGCCTCCAGCCGCGACGGTGCGAAACACTGTGAGTATATAAACATTTGACAGTATGTGTGCGCGTTGCGGGTGTGTTTGTGTGGGTGTGTGTTCATGTCTTGTCATTGTGTTTGTTTCACTGTGGGGTTTTACGTGCGTTTGCATTCGTGTTTGTGGGATGTGTGTTTCAAAGTGTGGTGTTAGTATGTGTTATGCATGCAATTAGAGGTTGTTAATCGTCTTTGGGGCAGCGTGTTTTCGCTGTTTCAACGACCCCATCAACCTCTGTTGCTGCATGATGCATTTTAACATTCATTTTGAAGCATTCATTTCACCTCATACCTTGTTGTTCATTTGTACAATTGCATTCGTTCATGTTGATGCCAGAATATTATGCTCGGCCGTACGATCCGCCGTATTTATCGACGAGGTTGTGACGGTCGAGCAAGTTCATGGTTTCAACATGATACGTACGTGTTTACGTGTTTTGGGGATCTCATTCAAGAGTGTTTTTTATCCACTGTTTGAGGCATCCGTTTGAACACAGTTTCAAAACATTCAAACGAGTGCTCCAAAAAGTGCGTAAATAACTCTTCTAATGATATCCCCAAAATGTGAAACCAAATATAAAGGGTTGCTACGCAACCCAAAAAGCCGAAGCCAGATGCTTTCTGTTGGTGGACTGGATGTTTTCGAGCGACGCGTTCAATTCAGAACTTCAAACTCGTGTGAAGTTTCTGACATCTGTTCCGAACCAGGTTTGGTCCAAGGCCGTGTTTCCATAACACTGCTGTGAAGGCCGTTCAGATTCCATTTACCGCAGATACTTGGGTTCGGGGCGAAAGCAAACGCGGAACACGGTCGCGAGATTGGCTAATCCAGACTCTGGCTGGCCGCAGCGAAGCACCTTCGCGAAAAAAAGACGCAACACAACCAGTGTGATTCTTCTATTGGACACGACTCAGGATGAAAATGCTACGGTAGGAAAACGATGTGTGATTGTTTTGCTGCGGGGGTGCGTTTCTGCACGCTCAGAACCACAGCTGACTGAAACGGACTTCAATAAAACCCTATAGAGAGTACAGCTACTTTTCAAGCACACCACGTACAGCTCTACTACAAACGTTTATCCAGCAGACATCCCTAGCACAAGTGCAATGCCCGGCTCAAACATTCTGCACCAGGTCTCCCATCTAGTGAAAGAGAGAAGCGGTCTCTCTGACTAAAAAGGAGAAGAGGTCATAATCAATGGAGGAGAGAAACCATCCTATTTGAAGCATTTGCACATGACAACATAGTCAGTGTCGCCATCCTACCTACACATAATTGAGCTGCCTGAAACATACTGTTGGCCCCTGGTCAATGGTAATAATGGGAGGACAAAAAGGATAATATGTGATGAGTCACAAGGTTTCACCTATGATGATTGGTGAAGAAAGGGAAGAGGAGAAGATGTGCAGACGTGCACGAGGAAAACGACCAGTCACGCAAAGTGCAGGTGGAACAGGATCAATCACTTACGTTATAGCATGTCCCCTCAAAAGGTCCTGAAATGCTTGCTCGAGCGGCCACTCTTCGTAGAATGCTTTGCCTTGACAATAATTCGAATTGTAGAATTTAATATTGCTGCAAGCGGGAGCATCGCCAATGTTGTCCATGCCATATATTATCGTGACCAGGCCAAGCGCTTTTTCCGGAATCGGAGTGCACACATTCAGCCTGAGGCGGAAGGTATAGGCATACGTGTCGTTCATGACGTATGTGTAGCTGTAGGAAGAGACGGTGGGATGTCTACCTGTGATAAAGAGGGACACAAAGAAAGGAGTGAGAACAGTGTTGGTCACCGGCACAAAGGAAGGACTCAGCGCATTGTTGGAATCACGTTTGAGAATTCTCAAAAATAATTTCAACGTATATGTATAGCTGTAGGAAGAGACGGTGAGATGGCTACCTGTGATAAACGAAGGGCACAAAGGAAGGACGTTCAAACACTCCTACATGCGTTGCCACATTCCCACGAGCATTCGACCAACTTGGCAGAGTGAGGAAGGTGAAGCAAAGAGTGGGGTGAGTGGGATTGGGGAGAATGGGGCGGGTGGGGAGAGCATGCATCAATGAGGCTCACCCTGAACACAGTCGGTTGTGGTTATCCCATAGCCATCGGGGCAGGAACAGTACGGAACTGACAAGGTTGAGTCAGACGTCAGTTTTGTTTTGCACGTGGCTCCAGTGGGGCAGGCGCCACAGAGCGAGGCTGAGGGGCGGGGATGGGTGCAGTGCGGTATGTGAGTGAATGCAATGGGGGAATTGAGGCTCCAAAGGGACAGGCGCCACTGAAAGAGGCTGAAGAACGCAGGAAGCACGGGAGAGGGAATGGATGGGGTGAGGGATGGGTGTGGTTGTGGCTCCACTCATTGAGAGAGCAGGAAAGAACTCACCTCACTGGCAGACAGAGCAAGGAAAGAACTCACCTCACTGGCAGACAGAGCAAGGAAATACTTACGCCACTGGCAGTAGCGCCCTCCGTTTTGAGCCACGGTACATTTGCTGCCAGGCTGACAGGCCAGCGCCGCACAGGCAGGATCATCTGCAGCAGAGGCGAGAAGAAAAGGGCAACAGGTGAAGATATGAGTGCTTATAGACGTCTTAAGGTATGAATGCTTATGGACGCCTAAGGTATGAATGCTTATGGACGCCTAAGGTATGAATGCTTATGGACGCCTAAGGTATGAATGCTTATGGACGCCTAAGGTATGAATGCTTATGGACGCCTAAGGTATGAATGCTTATGGACGCCTAAGGTATGAATGCTTATGGACGCATGAATGCTTATGGACACCATAAAGGCATCGGAATGACACTGGCACTGTCAACTCATCTCTGACAGCGGAAATAGAGCATCGGAATGACTGCTGCAGTGTGTGCCTTTTAAGTCGACTCAAAGCAGCCATCCCTGACAGCAGCAAGAGGGCGTTGAAATGACAGCGGCAGTGTGCCTCTCTGACAGTGGCAGGGGGGCCGCATGAAACACTGCCCTTCAGAAAAAGGCATTGTAAATCACGCCCTTCAGAGTCACGCCCTTCAGAACCAAAAAAAATCAGAATCACATCCTTCAGCATCACACCCTTCAGAATCACGTCCTCTGAAACGTACCACTGGTGCTGCCTGTGATGTTTCCAGTGGTGGTGCTGCCAGTGGTGCTGCCAGAGGTGCTGCTGGTGCTGCCAGTGGTGGTGCCAGTGGTGGTGCTGGTGCTGCCAGTGGTGCTGCCAGTGGTGGTGCTGGTGCTGCCAGTGGTGCTGCCAGTGGTGGTGCTGGTGCTGCCAGTGGTGATGCTGCCACCGGCAGTGGTGCTGCCGGTAGTGGTGTTGTCAGCGGGAGTGGTGCTGCCGGTGGTGGTGTTGTCAGCGGGAGTGGTGCTGCCGGTGGTGGTGTTGTCAGCGGGAGTGGTGCTGCCAGTGGTGATGCTGCCACCGGCAGTGGTGCTGCCGGTGGTGGTGTTGTCAGCGGGAGTGGTGCTGCCGGTGGTGGTGTTGTCAGCGGGAGTGGTGCTGCCAGTGGTGATGCTGCCACCGGCAGTGGTGCTGCCGGTGGTGGTGTTGTCAGCGGGAGTGGTGCTGCCGGTGGTGGTGTTGTCAGCGGGAGTGGTGCTGCCGGTGGTGGTGTTGTCAGCGGGAGTGGTGCTGCCGGTGGTGGTGTTGTCAGCGAAAGTGGTGCTGCCGGTGGTGGTGTTGTCAGCGGGAGTGGTGCTGCCGGTGGTGGTGTTGTCAGCGGGAGTGCACATCACTGAGAGTATCTGACCATCATTTACAAAGTCCCTGGTGAATGGTTCAAAGGGAGGACAAAGAGGATAGGATGCCTCAACAAGCAGTTAAGTTACACCTTTGATGCTTGGCAAAAAGGGAAGTGGAACAGCTGGGCAGGTGTGTGGGTGGAACAGCTGTGCAGGTGTGTGGGTGAAACAGCTGTGCAGGTGTGTGGGTGGAACACGATCAGTCACTCACAGTGCATAGGTTGCAAAAAGCGGCCGCGTGTTTGTAGGGAAGCTGGCTGTCGGAGTGCCTTGGCAGTTATTAGTTGCGTAAAGATTCATCTTGGGACACCTCGGAGCATCCGGGATGTTTGCGATAGTATAAAGCGTGCTGAAGGTCCGGGCGATTGCATCAGGGAATGGAGTGCAGGCATTTGGGTTGAGGCGGAAGGTGTAGGGCCGAGAAGCCTTGTCCTGGGCGGTACGATTCCCGATGACTGTCATGCCACTGGAAGAGACAGTTGAATTTTCACCTGCGAATGAGTGGAACAAAAATCGTCTTAAAGGGAATTTGTCTGCACCTTCATACATTCCCGTATTCATATATGGGACAGCAAGGCAAACGAAGCAAAGAGTGGGATGCGTGGGGAAGAAGAGAGGGTGAAAGGATTAGAGCAAGAATCCATAGAAGAATGAGAATCTCACCCTGAATACAGTCAGTCGGGGTCATCCCGTAGCCGTCAGGGCACGCGCAGTAAGGCACCGGCACCGAATTGTTGCTTGCTGCAGGCACGGTCTTGCAGGTGGCTCCAGTGGGACAGGCGCCACAGGGTGAGGCTGACGGGTGGGTGGGCATGGGTGCAGTGCGGTTTGTGAGTGCAAGGGGGGGATTGAGGCTCCAGAGGGACAGGGGCCAGTGGGCCAGAGGGTGAGGCTGAGTTGACTTTTGAGTCGACTCAAAAGTCAACAGGGGCCAGTGGGCCAGAGGGTGAGGCTGAGTTGACTTTAGAGTTGACTCAAAAGTCAACAGGGGCCAGTGGGCCAGAGGGTGAGGCTGAGGAAAGGAGCATGCAATGGAGGGAGAAGGAATGGGGAACGGTTAAGTTGCGGGTTTGAGGGGTGGGCATGGGTGTCGTGCGGGGTATCGCTGTGCTTTTGTGGATCCAGAGGGGCTGAGAGGGAGAAGTGAGAGGGAAAGGAGGTAGGCAGGCAGAAAGACGAACGTGAGCTGGCTGGGACCATGAGGTATAAACGCTACCATGAGTTGAAAAACTGTGTGGATCCGCGTGCAGTGAGGCCATTTTCGGGGCGCCTCAAAAGGACACTTCACAAGAGAACGGAGGTTTCTGTGGTGGTTATTTCCTCACCATGCAGTGAGAATGGAGTTATTTCCTCGCTGCATATGTGGATTCCAGGAACCTCCATCCTCATACAACATGTGCGAATGCATGCCATGAGGGAGTGGGGAAGCGGGAACATCACGCTCACCGCACTGGCAGAGAAGGAAAGAAGTAAGCACCTCCCTTGCACCTCCCTTGCACCTCCCTGAACCATCGCACTCTGCCTGTGTGGAAGAAACTCGCCTCTCACTCGCACCACCTCCCTTGCAGAGCAGAAAAGAACTCACCCCTCTGGCAGAAATGGCACGCTCACTCACCCCACTGGCAGGAACGCGTTCCGTCTTGACCCACCACACATTTGCCATCCGGCTCACATCCCAACGCCGCACAGGCAGGATCTGCAGCAACTGAGGCGAAGAGAAAGGGGCAACAGACGAAGATATGAATGGTTATGGGCTTGTAGACGCCATTCTCATAAGGGCATCAACGACGTAGGCAGTGTGTGCATGACAGCGAAACGGGACTGAGATACGGCAAAAGGCAAGATGACATTGCTGCGGACAGAGATGTAGGCAGTGTGTGCATGACAGCAAAAGGGAAATCGCCCTTCGGAGGAAGCCAGAGTGAATCACGCCCTTCACAATCACGCCCTTCACAATCACGCCCTTCACAACCACGCCCTTCACAATCACGCCCTTCACAATCACGCCCTTCACAATCACGTCTTTTGAGCCTACCACTGGTGCTGTCAATGCTGCCGGTGGTGGTGCTGGTGTTGTCAGCAGGGGTGCTGCCAGTGGTGGTGCTTCCATCGGTGGTGCTGCTGTTGGTGGTGCTCTCTTGCGCAATCCGCCGCGCATTGACCTTCCTGCTCGCTGCTCCCGCCACCATGCCTTCTCCATTCGCGTCATACAACATGCTACGGTGTGTCATCCTTTTCACCGTGTTGTCGCCATGCGCTGCCTGCATCATCTGAGCTGCTGCAGAGAGCAAGAGAGAGAACGTGCAGAGAAGAGAACAGAGAGCAGATATGAGAGAGCAGAGAGGGAAGAGGAAAGAGAGGACCGAGCTGAAAGTATAGAAGAGGTGGAAAACGGAGGCGAGCAGGAAGGAGAGGTCAGGGAGATCAGAGAAACCCTTAGAAAGGCAAATTCGAGAGCTTACAGAATCAAGGCAAGGGCTGACTACAAGTCAACGATGTTGCAGCAATGACTCATCGCCGAGAGAAGTAGACTGACCAGCGATGAGGGCAATGGCGAGCAGCAGGAGGCCGGCAGGAGAGGCGCGCATCGTCCTCATGGTGATGACGGTGGAGGGCCGCGGGAGAGGCGGCGGGAGAGGCGGCGGAAGTGTCGGCGGAAGAAGGGGAGAGAGAAGAAGCGCAACGGGGTTCTAAAGGTCCCGAACTGTGCCGAGATCCGTACGGTAATTCAAGGCTCTAAGTCTATCAAATGCGGCAGCTTGGGTGGAATGAAGGACAGTCCAGTGAGTGCAAAAGCGGAATGACGACGGCATTTGCTGGGCTGGTGTCTCATATATGGCGAGTTACGACTTTGAGCCAAGCCGCTGCGCCGTCTAAGTTTGGAGCGCGACTCGATGTGCCACATATTATGCAGTGCTTGGGCTCTGGGTCACATATAATGCAGTGCTTGGCTGTGGGTCACATATAATGCAGTGCTTCCAGTGAGTTTCCGGGGACGATATAGCTGGAATTATAGGAGCGCGATGTGTTAGTATGAGTTATGCGATATGCGACAATGTGCGATATGCGACAGTATGCATTGAGCGATATTGTGCGAGTGAGCTGCGAAGACGAAACCACATGAAATTCTGAGAATGCGACGGCTTGAATGGCGAGGGGTCCATAAGTGAGGTGGTGCTTGACTCGAGAGTGCATCGGGGGACGAATGAATTGGAGAGGTTAAGGTTAAGGTTATATTGAGGTCGTAACCTGAATTGGAGAGGAAGAGACGATGCACACTGTCGTTCACGATTCACGAATCTAACGCAGAACGCGGTGAGTTTCCGTTCGTCGCTTCCCTCCGTTTGTGGCTTCCAATCAGGATGCGACTAGGCGAAAAATATTGCGAGATCAGAAGCTTCATTATATGGGTGCATCACAGAAGAACGAATGAAAAGCGGAAGTAGTAGCTAGCTCTTCTTGAACTGGTGGCTGTTTCAGTGACGCGTTCGAACTGTAAAACTAGCCTGGCAGGTCAGACTTTTTCTTGGGATTGGTTGAGATTTCGAGGTATGCTCCAAGGCTGTGTTTCCAGAACAATATGGTGCAGGTTCCTGCAATGGAGCTGTAGAGTAGCTGGGATTGGGTCGAAGTGAACGTGGATAGTGCAGGGTGTTTGTTGCGAGTTTCGTCAATCCCGCTAAGAGTTTCGCTAGCGATGCAGACTGATCGCGCCTTCAAAAGGATGTGAGTGCATGGTGTATGCTATGCACTTCCACATTTCCTGGCACATGTATCACTATAATATTTCGAGCATGACGTGGCTTCTATAATGTTCTTAATCAACTCATTTTTATCCAAAGTGTGTTGATAAGGAGATTGTTACGAATAGTGGTTAGTGAAAACACTATTGAGCACTCCTCATCGTAGCAAAGCCGAAGTACGCAGTATCGAGAGTGAAGACGAAAAGGCAGAAGTAATGCGAAGGGACAGACGGTTACGAGGAGCATCTGGACCGTCGGGCAGACAGCATCAGGCAGCAGCAGTGGCGGGGATTCTGCCCGAACAGTTCCGTAACCACCCGGAGTCGCACGGTTGAATTTCGCTGTAATAAGGGAATGTACCCCTTAGAGTACATGGCTAGCTAGGTCGTTTCGTATTCCCCTGTACTCTTATTTATATTCCTTGTACTGCATGTTTTTATTATCTCAAGCATTTACATTCACTCTGCTATTGAGGTCAAGGGCCCACCACCGCTAGATTAGAAGTGTGCGAACCTTCCTGAGGTGATCCTGGGTACGATCAACTTCTGATCGCAGCATGGTATGAGAGCGACTCAGGAATCCTTCGCACCGCCACCTCCGAAATCTGCGACATTCGGAAAGTGGCGTCCGGCACACGATCGCGTGTAAGAATGGCCGGAGGATCTGGAGGTCAGACGAATCTGACGGCTGAAGCGCAGCCCAACCCGACTGCGACAAGCGAGGAAACGACGACGATCCCTTCCGTCGTCCTCGCACAACTGCTTCAGCGACTCACGAGCCTGGAGCAAGGACTCCAGACATTGCGGAATGGCGACGCGGGAACTTCTTCCCAACCCACTCAACCAGCGTCAAACGGCCAGAACTCCGCCCCGCAAGGCTTCTCTCTTGACACAAATGGCTCAACACCCAAGACTCCCTGTCCCAGCGATGAAGCAATTCTCTCTGCGCAATCAAGGTTTTTGAGCATATCAAAAATAAAGACAAGTGTGTGCTTTGAAGGCAGAGACTTTTACACCTGGAGCTTCGAGCTGGAGCTGCTGCTGCAAAACGCGCAGATTTATCATTACTTCGACGGGAGCTACTCGGGACCTACGGAGGACACTGACGACGCAAAACTCAAGTACTACAACGAGTCCCTGATGGCGTACGAGGTCCTTCTGCGGAACATGTCGCCGACGGAGCAATTGAGCATTCGCTCATACAAGACCTCGCCGGCTCCCGCCCTCAACGCCTGGCGCCACCTGAACGGCGTATACCAACCCAAGGACTCAGTGTCGTCCAGCCGCCTGCTCCAGCAGCTACTGGAGACGAAGATGGCACCGGGAGAGAAGGCCAACAGCTACCTGAATCGCTGTCGAAGCTTACGCGATCAAATCGCGAAATTGGGGAGCACGATTTCTGAAGAGATCTTTGTCAACATCGTGCTCCAAGGGCTAGGCCCAGAGTGGCGGCCCTGCAAGGCGCTTCTTTGACAGCAGGGGGTCATCTCGGAGGCCGCCCTTTGCGCCGCCCTTCTCGTCGAACAAAGGGATATGGACCAGCAGCGACCAGCGCCGCGACGAGATAGGGAGCGCCTCGCATTCTTCGCCGACAACACAGAAGAGCGACGGCCGCGGCGCCTCTACTGCAAAATCTGCAGAAATTTCGGGCACTTGGCGGATCGATGCAAGCATCGATCTCGTCCTCGCCAGACCAATCCGAGCAACTGGACTGGCCGACAAGACGTGAGGAATGATACGCGTCCCGCCCCGGGGTACCAACCCCCATCGCGCAACCTGAACTCAACCGTTCAGCAGCAGCAGCAGCCATCACAGGCCGCCCCCGTCCGCAACGTCATGGGGAACATGACCATGACGAGCGGCTCTCGTCGCCCGCGCGCACGTTCACTCTCACCTGAGCCTGCGCCCGACCCAATCGAAGCGTCCTCGAACAACAATCCGTTCAGCACGCATCACGACTACAGCGACGACAACAACCAGGACTGGATTTTGCCAGTCCCGCTGCTTGAAAGCCCTCCGCACGTACCTGACATGCGGCCGGCACCGATCGACTGGATCGCGCGCGAACAATTTCTCAAGGTTGACACTCCGCACATCGTCACTCCGCGACTGGCGCTGCTCGCGCGAAACGACAACAGGCGCTACAACAAGTGGTACCTGGACAGCTGCTGTGGGCAGCATATGGTGGGCTCCGAGCGTTACATATCCAACGCCGTCTCCACCCCCGTCGTCACCTACGTCACAGTGGCGAACAACACGCGGCTGCGCGCAAGCGCGCAAGGCATCGTGGTGCTCAAGGCACGAGGGAGCCGAACGCACATCACACTTAACGACGTGTTGATCGTGCAGAACCTGCGCTTTAATCTACTCTTGGCGGCGCAACTCCTGGATTGCGGAGTCATCCTGAGCATTGACCCCGAGACACGCGACATCCTGCTCCACTTCACGATGCCGAACAAGACGCGCAAGCAGATCGGATGGGCGCACGCCGAAAACGGCGTATACGTTCTCGACTTCGACATTCCCGACTGCAGCGGCGATTCGCAGGAGCTGATTGACCTCGTCCCCCTGCGCTTCGAGCACATCCTTCGCCGCGATTGGAAGCACCCTGATGGGCGCCCCTGGGTGGCACACCACCCACACCCGCGCGAGCTGGCGCTGCACGACCCCGATCCCGACGGCGTCTGCAGGGACTGCCACACACCGACGACCTCGACGAGCGCGATCGCCGGCCGTGGCCTTGCCGCCAGTCGCGAAGCAGAGCGCGACGCACCGCCTGAAGAGGGTCTATCCCAGCTGGAGTTGGAAACAGCTACACGGGTCGTATTCGGCACACCGGAAAACCCTCTTCGGCTCTCGCCTAAGAAACGGCTCTCGCCTACGGAGGAAGAAGCGTTGGCGCAACAAGAAGCCGAAGAACTTCGGCAGAAGAGCCTCGCCGAGGCACGCGGAACGCTCGCCTG